CTCCAGGTGTTTCTCAAGGCGGCTCCCCCACACCCTTTGGCTCTCTGTCAGATGCCACTGTGCTGAGGGTGCCCATCCTGATGACCCTGTGTAAGACGCTGCTTCTCCACAGCAGCTGCACTGTGGCAGTATATAATTCTTCCCTCCACATACTTTTGACTTGATGTCATTCAACTTGCATCTTTAGTTTTTTTGCTGTCATTAAGAAACTTGCGAGTTGGGTTCAGTGTTGTATTTTCACCACCCTGTACTGCACCCAGCACACAGTAGGCACGTTAGTAAATGGTAATTGCGTCCGTGAATAGATTCCTGGGGGCTTAGGACCGGAGGTGTCTTGAGAGGACATACCTGTCATGACTTGGGGAGCTGTAGAGATTACAGCTCAGCAGTTATCACTGCACTCCTTCTGTACTTCTAGGCCCTGGGTTACGAGTGCATACCAAACTGACAAAAATCTCTACACTCAGGAGCCTTTCGTTCTAGAGTTCAAAAATCTAGGGATGTAGGTGCAGGATGGTGTGGAGAGAGTGGGGTTTTGGCTGTTCTTCTGGCAGCCTTTATTATCTGATTTAGTCCCTAAGATGGCTCCCTCTGAGAGGGCTTCTTTGCTTTCTCCCCCAGGGACCCTGTTGCAGAGGGCTCCATGAACACCTGTTGACTCCCTTCTGTTTTGCTTTTGTTTGTTTGTTTTTCCCAGTGTGGGGCTTGAACTAATGACCCTGAGATCAAGACCTGAGCCACGATCAAGAGCCTGACACTTAACCAACTGAGCCACCCAAGTGCCCCTTGACTTCCTCTTCTCTTAACTGGGCACCACAAGTGCTCATTTCATAGTTAATGCATCCTCAAGTAGTTGACCCTTCTCCCTCCAACCAAGTTCTGGGATGTTGAGGGTCTCCCATGGCCCGTTCTGTTTGGGTTCCAGCCCACTCAGCCCTTCAGCATGTGACCCAGCCCTCTGTTCGGCTAATTTCTTCTGTGTTAGCCCAGTATGGCATCTGCTAAAGCTTAGGAATATTCAGAAGTAATTTTTTGAAAGCTTAGTTTATTCTTCAAAGGCCTAAAATAACACTTGTCATATAAGGTATTCTTTGTGGCATTTCTTTGGGGTGAGATCAAACCACTGTGTGTGTGTGTGTGTGTGTGTGTGTGTGTGTGTGTACATGCATACATATATATACACACACATACACGTACTCCCCTCTCTCAGATATGTATTATATATATTCTTCTGGATTTCCTGTATTTGTGTATTTCTATACTTGGCACAGTATTAGAATCCAGTGGAACTTTAATTTTGCCCTGCTGTGCCATCCAAATAGCAAAGGGCAATGTGGAGCCGCTGACTTGCAGAATTTTGGAAGGTTAGTTTAACATCACATTTGAATTGCTTAATTTAATTTTCTCTTTGAATCAGTTGCTAAGCAACCGGGAAGACAGGACAAAATCAGCAAGGCTAATTTGGTTCTGTTACTAGTTTGTTAGCATCTCTTATATTTACATAGCTGGTTGGTTGTAAATATGCTTAATCCAATGTAATGCTTTGTTTTGTCCAAGGAAAATAGTTGGTGTGGACGTTATGGCAAGACTTTGGTTGGATTGATAGTACTTAAATTGACACTGTCATTCTAGTTGAAGGGAAGGTCCCCTGAAGTTTTGAGCCTGTGTTGTGGCCCATTTATTTAAGTGGGGTGTTTGACTTGGCTGTCCCATGAACACTTGTAGAATGGTACTTTCCATTGCATGTTAATCCCTTGGCATTATGATTCCAGCCTGTTTGTTCCTAGAACCAACTTAAATTCTTTGTTTGGAATTCATACCATTTAGCTATTATCATATGAAGTGTGTTAGAGGAAAAAGAAATAGACAGTTTTACTCTCATTATTGATGAAGTTTGAAATTGTTTACCTAATTTGGCCCATAAAGTAAGTTCTGTGTCAAATATTAATACTGATGGCATTCATGTTTTGAATGCCTTTTTTTAAGTTATGTGATTATCAAGGAAGTCACCCTTGTCCAGCCCACCTCTGTCCACCACCAAAGCTAGGACCTAAGCTGACCAGTAGTCTCATGGTTGTGTGTGCTTGTTTATGGAATAAATGGAGGGGGGGTTCACATATGTGAAACTGGTAGGAATACTGTCTCAGTGATGTCATTAAGTTGCCACTGAGACAGTAAATGACAGTGACCTGTGGCTTTCCTAAGAGGTGGGGACGACAACTCTATCTTTTAATAGGTTACCTGCGGTGTCCTTTGTTTTCTAAAGATCTAGATGGCATCTTTCATATGCCCTAATGATTACTTTGAGTAGATGGATTATGTTCTTGATAAGGGTAGACATCAGTAGTTTTATATTTAACTTATATAACTGCTTGTGATTAGGTAGACATATTTAGTGAAGAAGGAGATTACAGAAAGGGGGAAAGTACTTTTTATTTCTACAATTAAATGATCTTTTATTTCTCTTCCTGAACAGTGTCAAGGGATTATGTAGTACTTTGTAAAAATTCAATGATCCCAACAGAAGAAACGGTGATGTGAATTAGAGCAAAGTCCTAGTATCTACGTACTTGATAGCAAATGAATTTTTGTTGCTTTGAGAATTATCTGATGTAGACTATAACGAGGTATTTTCCTGTTTGAGATCCTTTAAGAGAATCTGTTTCAGTGAACAGATGAGAATAAGAGTGCGGTTACTAGATTGAATGTCCTTAGAAGCTCGTTCTGAAATGCTTCAGAGTATACTTTTTCCAAACCTGGGTTTTCATTCCAGAGTTATTAATTTTACTCTATAAATACTTAACCTTTTGAAAACCCAATTATGTCAAAATGTAAACTTCTCAGGGAATAAGTGTCAATTTTCGTGTTAGTTTTTTAGAGCAATTATTTCTAAACTTTTTTGGTAGCATGTCCCTATCAAAAATATTTGACAAGTATACCTCTAAACTATGTCTCTGTAAATATTTGAAAGTTCTATATATGTGTTACTGTACTAATATATTGTATACATTATAAAAACAAGCAGGAAAATAAACATTGATGAAAAGATGAAGATTAAACAGCGTAGTATCCTATAATGATTATCCTATTATGATTATCCTACCGTAAGGCACAGAGGTGCTGTAGGGTTAGGTTCATCATTAGAGACAGTGCTTTAAATGGTTTTATCAGGTTTATTATCTAGGTGATTTCAGATTTTCTTTTTTAGATCATCATTATTTTCCCAGTCTAGTGGCTCACAAGAGGAATGCAACAAGGGTTGATTGTGCCTTTTTCTTATGTGCTCGGTTTGCATTACAATTATCTTGTGCTCGGTTTGCATTACAATTATCTTCCATGTTTGGATTTCTTTGCAGAAATACTTGGAATCCACTTTTCTGTTGTGTGAGGGCCAGTTCTTTTTTTTTTTTTTAATTTTATTATGTTAGTGACCGTACATCATTAGTTTTTGAGGTAGTGTTCCATGATTCATTGTTTGTATATAACACCTAGTGCCCCATGCAGTACGTGCCCTCCTTAATATCCGTCACTGGGTTAACCCATCCCCCCCCATTCCTGTAAAACCCTCAGTTTGTTTCTCAGAGTCCATAGTCTCTCATGGTTCGTCTCCCCCTCCGATTTCCCCCCCTTCATTTTTCCCTTCCTACTATCTTCTTTTTTTTTTTTTAAAGGTATAATGTATTATTTGTTTCAGAGGTACAGGTCTGTGATTCATCACAGCACTCACCGTAGCACATACCCTCCCCAGTGTCTATCACCCAGCCACCCCTCCCACCCCCCACCACTCCAACAACCCTCAGTTTGTTTCCTGAAATTAAGAATTCCTCATATCAGTGAGATCATATGATACTTGTCTTTCTCGGATTGACTTATTTCGCTTAGCATAATACCTTCTAGTTCCATCCACATCATTGCAAATGGCAAGATTTCGGGGTTTTTTTTGATGGCTGTATAATGTTCCATTTTGTATATATACCACATCTTCTTTATCCATTCATCTGTTAATGGACATCTTGGCTCTTTCCATAGTTTGGCTATTGTGGACATTGCTGCTATAAACACTGGGGTGCACGTGCCCCTTCGGATCACTACATTTGTATCTTTGGGGTAAATACCCAGTAGTGCAATTGCTGGGTTGTAGGGTAGCTCTATTTTCAGCTTTTTGAGGAACTTCCGTACTGTTTTCCAGAGTGGCTGCACCAGCTTGCATTCCCACCAACAGTGTAGGAGGGTTCCCCTTTCTTCTCACGTGAGGGCCAGTTCTACTACCTAAGACAATATATGAAGTCGTATGAGCCCAGGCATACCCACATGGAAACACATCATGATGCACTGACACTGAGGGACAAAGGCTTGTGCTGTTTCAGTGCAAGCCGCTGATAGTTTATTTCTGCTCCCGAGAATCATCTTGTATATGGTGCTCAAGAGACCACTGCCCTAAGAGGTCCCTGCGAAAAGGATCCTTTAGTATTTATTTATTTCTAAGTAGGTTCCAGTGTGGAGCCCAACATGGGGCATGAACTCATGACCCTGAGATCAAGACCTGAGCTGAAATCAAGAGTCAGACGCTTAACCCACCGAGCTACCCAGGCGCCTCTTCTGTAGTTTTTTTTTTTTTTTTTTTAATGTAGTTGATGGAAGAGAGTTGTGTTTACATATGAAAATGCTTGTGTTGTTGCATATTACTAGGGTGTCTGTCCTTCTGTCTGCCCATCATGAAGGAAAGGAAATCACTATGGGGTAGCTTTAAGAGCCCTGGACTCCGAGTCCTAGATCTGCCCCTAAGTGGCTGTGTGACAATGGCCAGTGAATTGACTTACTTTCTGAAAGCCTCAGTTTCCTCACCTGGCACCTCACATTGTGGTGGTATAGATTAAAGGTCAGAGGAAAGGTTCCTAAAAGGGCCTTGTAACTTGTCATTTATACATACATAGAATGTTTTTTCATAGGTTGAATGCATATACTTCCTCAAAAATGATTTTTATTTGTTTCACTTCTAGATTGCCTCTTTAAGCTATGTCCCATGAATCGCTACTCTGCCCAGAAGCAGTTCTGGAAAGCTGCCAAGCCAGGGGCCAACAGTACAACAGACGCCGTATTGCTCAACAAACTGCATGTACGTATTTGCGAGGGACCTCTCCATGATAGGGGTCTTAGGAACGGCCACTTGGGTTGTGTCCCTAGATGGGGCACCCAAATTCATCTCTGTGAATAAGTGTGAGGGATGTGGTAGTCAGGGAGGACTTCCCTGGAGGAAGAAGAAATGACAAGCCTCATTCTGAGGCATCTGCAGGAGTCAGAGGGTAGGAGAAGAGAGAAAAGAAACAAATAGGTTGCTTTGAATACTTCAGGAATTGCATCATTATTTTCATGATTTTAGGGCAGACGTTCTCAACCTCAACAGACTCCCTCTTAATAGAAAATACTATGTAACTATATGAACAGGAAATAACATTCATAAATAATACAACCTCTGAAGACACCAGATTTTTTTAAAATGAATTATAAAGGAGAAATAAAAGGAAAGTAATAAATCTTATAATCGTGTACTTTAGTTAATGCTTGGGCAGGATTACTCTAGGGGACTTAAGGAAGTAAATGTTCACTCCTATTTGTATAAACTCAGAGGCAGCCAAAGACTGTGACTCAGGTAGGTGTGTGGTACTGGCTGCTAAAAAGCATGTTTTTTGTAAGTAATTTTCCAAAATGGTCAGCAGATCTTGGTTGTGTTACAAATAAAGCAAAGTATACTCTTCCCTTTATTAAATAGCCCTTGCATTTTGGGTAAATGTATTAATGGTAATTAAACCATGTAAAACTATACTTTGTGTTGCTATGTAAAGTGGAGTTAGAATCTAGACCCAGAAATTGCAGACAGCCTTTTAACCCATACAAATGACAACCAGACATACAACTGTACAGGATGAATAATGCTTTATCCTTATACAGGATGGTACCATGCATTTCGGGGCATCCAGCATCCTGAGTCCTATGCACTGAATATCAGTAGCACCCCCCGCCTCCCCCAACTTTGTGATGACCCAGGGTCCTCCTGACGTCTGTGCTGGGACTATGGGAATCTAGCTGAATGGGTTGGGCAAGATTGTTTAATCTTGCACATCTCTCTTATTAGCTATTTAGTGCTTATGCCTGTGGGGTTATCTTGGAAGAAGTACATCTTCTGTAGTTCGGACTTTTCTTTTTCTGATATGAAAATCATTCTGTTCAATCAGATCTTAAGAGTACCTCTCAAAAAACCTTCCTTTTCCTATGCTTTTTACAGCAGTAGTAAATTCAGATTCCTCTTGACCATGCAGGAAGCCAACTGGAATAAAAGGAACCTGGTGGTCCTGGTTGCTAAGTGGAGTGTGCATGTGTGTGGGTCCAGAGGGGGCCTTTCTGTCCCCTTGCTGTTGCTGCGTGGGAACCTGGGCCCAGAGCTGCTGCCATGTCTTCTACTTTTTTAAGAGAAGCTAAAAATTCATGCTTTATATCTAATATCTCAATTTTTAAAAAAATGTTGGAACTAATTCAATTAAAGTTTAAAGCATCCATTCAGTACAAAAATGTCTCAAGCTGGATGGGGTTCTTTAGCCACCTGTTTGCAACCTGGGATGAAGTGTCAATGGAAATTGCTTTCAGTGCTCCTTCCCATGAATGAACTGTGCAAAAAACTGCGCAGTTGAAAAAATGCAATCTTGAAGGTGATCAAGAACTCTGAACTCCTTATTTAAAAAAAAAGAAAATGAAATGGCTCTTTCATGCTTTTGGTTCTTTAAAACATTTTTTACAAAGGAAACTAGTACCTTCCCCTGATTTAGGAGTACTGATGTGACTTGGATGTTGACTTTGTGCATTTCCTACTTTCCTGCTTCTTTGGACATTTTTTTCCCCTCTAGTGTCCAGAAGTGGCGTACGTGTTTTAGTGCAGTCATTAAAATGTTGTATTTTGGCCAGCCGCTTGCTTTTGGGGGTTGATGGCAAGTCTCCAGTGGGTTTTCATTTTTATTTTTGTCAACTACTGTGCAGCACCCCAATCAAAGGTCAGATTATTTTAAATTAATGCCATTTAAGGAATTAGTTGTCTAGACCACTTGACTTCCTTTTGACTAGGATAAGCAACATGTAAACAGCATTCTGAGGGAGAATGACATCTAGTGGCTGGTTACTGTGTGTTCATTCCCTCTGCAGGACTAACTGGATTCTAACTCTTCTGGTCATGACTTCTCAAAAGTCTTTTGGCAAAATGAGCTTTCTCCCACCCACAAATCACATAATGTGTTCAAAGGCCTTGACTACTGTTTGCTGACAGCATTTTGACCTGCGTTGTTTTGGTTCTGAGAAACGGTCAATTACATTAAGTCATAGTCTTGACAAGCTAGGAAAAGCCAGAGGAGTAGAAAGTCTCTTGTTTCCCGAAGCCTGGGTCCTATATTGCTTGTTTTCAGAAGCCTTAATTCCATATTGTATTACACAGTGTAGAGTTTGTTTACCTGAAATAACCTTTCCCCACTGTTCCAGTGACTTTTCTGTAGTAACTGAATAATGGTTTCTCTGTTTTTCTGAAATAAAATAACAGGTGGCTATGATAAGATTGACCTTGATGTTGCTTAGGGAGCATGGTAATATCCATGGTGAACCATGGTGATAGAGACTGTAGCATTAAGTGTTATTTCTTCCTTAGAAATTCAAAACAGGGTGCCTGGGTGACTCAGTTGTTAAGTGTCTGCCTTCGGCTCAGGGCATGATCCCAGGGATCCCGCATCTGGCTCCCTGCTCCGCAGGAAGCCTGCTTCTCCCTCTCCCACTCCCCCTGCTTGTGTTCCCGCTCTCGCTATGTCTCTCTCTGTCAAATAAATAAATGAAATCTTAAAAAAAAAATTCAATACAGTCCTCAACCCAGTGTGTAAGGGAAAAATAGCAAAAGGTATTTAAATTATTAGGTTTTAAATTTTGAAAACATAACACATTTAAGATGATTTTTTAAAAAAAATCCAGGCTATTTGTCACAGAGATATGATGAGGTTTTTGAAGAAATAACACACATGAGTATGATAGAAAAATGATTGCAAAATATACATGAGTAAGAAAAGGAAAAAAAATACAGTCCCTAAATCTTACTCCTCAAATATAATCTTGGTTTATATTTGGTGTGTTCCCCCCCCATTATATTCCTGTGTTTCTACATTTTGAAGTATCAATGGAAACATACTGCTGTCTTCTCTTTCTTTAACTCACTTTTTTTCACTTAATATGTAATGAATAAATAAGAATCTTTTATTTTCATTTTATTGGCCACATGGTTCCTCCACGTATGCCAGCACTGTAATTTTACATAGCCAATCCTTGTGGGGTGGGTGGTATTCGGAATTCTGACAGTTTTTACAGTACTGAAACTAGCTGTTATGGACTTATTTGTGTGCAAGATTATCTTTTTAGGAGAAATTTCTGGAAGTGAAATTGCTAAATCAAAGTTGTGCCTGTTGAAAATCTTTGAGAGACACGGCCAGAAAATCCTTCAGAAAGATTTGTCAGTTCACTGTCTTACAGCATGGGCCATTCCTTAGAATATACTTGAGGGGTTTAACAGACCAAGTCACATGCTGTTCGAGGATGAAGCAACCTCGATCAGTGGGTCCAGGTGTAGTTAGTACCTCACTACCTTTTTATCAATCTGTGCCTCACCTCTTAAACCCAAAAATCATGAAGAATGGTTTTGTTTAAGACTGGAATTTGGCTTTGTGGAGGAAGTTATCTCGGGACCCATGGGTGAACTCATATGAACACATTTGGTATTTATTTAGTAAAAAGTAAAATGAATTGGAGAGTTTTCTCCTTAAAAAAGTATGCTTATGCTTATAGAAAAAGTGAATTCTTCAAATGGTCTATAAGGTTAATGCATGGAATGTTCATTCAGTAGTTATGTAGGTTTGGTTATCATTAAACCTTTCAACAGTATTACAGATGTGACAGTATTTTAAGACTGGTTCTTAGGTATTCTCTAATATTTTCTAATTTCACCTTTTATATCTTTTTAGACAAATACTCTTTAGTAGAGCTGGTGGTACTTAACTAGTTTTTAATATAGGATATGTGCCTTCTTGATGACTGACTTGATGTTTCTGTGTAGACATGTCAGCAAACACTGAGTTGCCCCTTTTGTACTTCATCTAAGTGTAGGAACTTAATATTTTAGTTGAGTGCTTCTTAAACTGAGGCTACTGGAAATTGGGAGTAAGAGGAATGTCCATGAGAATTTTCTCTCTCAAAGAGTAACCTTTATGTCATTTAAATCCAAGAAACACAGCTTTGTGATTTACTAAAGATGAGTCCTTTCAGTATGAGGTTTTGAGGAGAGGGGAAAAAAACCATATTTGTTGGAAAACGTGTCTTATTTTATTGAACATACTGATTTTTCCCACTTGGACATTTTTTCTTTCTTCAATGTTCTGTCCATATTAGCAGAGACAACTACTTAGCAGCAAGAACAAACGCCTCTTTAAGAAGTCTAAACCCTCCTTCCCAGTAAATTCAGTCCAGTGCTGTGTTTGGGAGACTACCTGTAGAATCTGTGCAGTACTCTGGAGATCTCTGGAGGGGTGCAGCACAGGCATGAAACTAGGAAGAATAGAAGGTGGGAAGAAATGTAAGGAGGGTGTGGATGGAGGGGAAGAGAGAGCTAGGAACGGTGCTGAGGGCAGTTCGGATGCCTAGGATTGCCATGTTGTCCACGCTGGTATTATTTCTGGATGTGTCTTGAACCCAGGGGATTTTATCCTTGGGTAACTGAGAGAAGCAGACTGGTAACTAATTCTGGGAGAGAGAGGGGAGGAAAGTCTCTGAATAGACCATTGTTTTACAGGGTTGAGACAGATGTGAGAAACTTACAGTGATCTGCACTAACATAGGCAGATCATTCCCTCTTGTAATGTGGTTTCTTTTTGGTTTAGGATTGCCTTCCACAGCTTATTTTTTTTTTTTTGAGGTCTTTTTTCAGAGGTACAGGTCTGTGATTCATCAGTCTTACACAGTTCACAGTGCTCATCCTAGCACATACCCTCCCCAATGTCTGTCACCCAGCCACCCCAACCCTCCCACCCCGCTCCATTCCAGCTTGTTTCCTGAGATTAAGAGTCTCTTATGGTTTGTCTCCCTCTCTGGTTTCATCTTTTTCATTTTCCCCTCCTTTCTCCTATGATCCTCTGCCTTGTTTGTCAAATTCCACATATCAGTGAGATCATACGATAATTGTCTTTCTCTGATTGACTTATTTTGCTTAGCATAATACCCTCTAGTTCCATCCACGTCGTTGCAAATGGCAAGATTTCAATTTTTGATGGCTGCATAATATTCCATTGTGTGTGTGTGTGTGTGTATATATGTATGTGTATATATATATATACCACATCTTCCTTATCCATTCATCTGTCAATGGACATCTAGGCTCTTTCCATAGTTTGGCTGTTGTGGACATTGCTGCTATAAACATTGGGGTTCTGCAGCTTATTTTTGTCAAAAGATGTACCTTCCTAAAAATACTTACACTGAAGGTAGAGATGGAACATATGCTGGATTTGAAGGAAATGGAAAGATTTTTTCCCCCACCCAACTTAGTTCACCAGTTGAAATTCTCATCATCAGAACATTAGAACTTTTCTTAATTTTAGAAATGTATGTGTAATAATGTTAGAATTTATTGAATACCTGTTATGTATCAGGCATGCATTTTCTCTGATCTCCCTTGCATTGTCTCCTTTTTGTGATCGAGAATATTGAGTGGGGCTTGGGGAAATTAAGTAACTGGCCAAGATGGTAGAGCTGGTGTGTGGTAGAGCCAGGCCCAAACCCAGGAGATCCTGTGAAAATGCAGACTGTTCTTGGGAAAGAGGCCCGTTAGCCCATTGGTGTCTGGGGGGGGGGCATCTGGCCTCAAGGAGAGGGAAACTCCGGGAAGAGAACAATGGAAGCTATTCTGAAATGCACGGCTGGTCACCAGGGTTTTATTATCCATCAGATTAGATATGGAATTTCTTCCCTGCTAATTTACTTCTGTTTGACCCAGTCTAGGTTTGGGGGACAGGGCTTGGAACAACAGTTTCTTTATTGCCCAGGACAAAGCTGGTTCCCCTTCAGCTTTGTTATGATAACAATACTTTCTGAGGTATACGAGTAAATGAATAAAAATGCCTGTTCCGGTTGATGGCCCTGGCAGACTCTTCTGGAACCCTCTCTTCAGTTTTACCAGGTTCTCGAGCATGCCAAATTTGGACCAGTAATGTCTCCTGGCCCCATTTGTACCTATAGATTTGCAGTTGACCCAAATGTGGGTTTGAGGATTATCTCTGCTACTTAATAGATGTGTGATTTTTTAAAAAAATATCCAACATCATTGTATTTTATTTATTTATTTTTAAATTGAAGCATAGTTGGCACACAGTGTTATGTTAGTGTCAGGTGTAAAACGTAGTGACCTGACACGTCTACGGGTTATGCTCCGCTCACCGCAAGTGTGGCTGCCACCTGTCACCACACAACACACAACACTGTTACGGTATCATTGACTGTGTCCCCTATCCCGTACCTTCCATCCCCAGGGCTTATTTATTCCACAACTGGGGACCTGTACCTCCCACTCCTTTTCACCATTTTGCCCATCTCCTACCCCCTCCCTTCTAGCACCTGCCAGTTTGTTGTCATTCATATATTGGTCTGTGACCGCTTTTTTTGTTTGTTCATTTCTTTTTTTAAATGTGGGGCTTGAACTCACGACCTTGAGCTCATGACCTGAGCTGAAATCAGAGTTTGGATGCTTGGCTGACGGAGCCACCCAGATGCCCCTTGTTTGTTGATTTGCTTTGTTTTTTAGGTTCCACATGTAAGTGAAGTCATGAAGTATTTGTCTTTGTCTGACTCATTTCACTTAGGATAATACCCTCTAGGTTCATCCATTTTGTCACAAATGGTGAGATTTCATCCTTTTTAATGGCTAAGTAATACTCCAGTGTGTGTGTGTGTGTGTGTGTGTGTGTGTGTGTGTGTGTGTGTAGACATACCACAGTACAGATAAGTGATTTTTAAAATAAGACTTTTTTTTTTTAAAGATTTTATTTATTTATTTGACAGAGAGAGAACAAGCTGGGGGAGCGGGAGAGGGAGAAGGAGAAGCAGACTCCCCACTGAGCAGGGAGCCCAACACAGGGGACTTTGGGATCATGACCTGAGCCAAAGGCAGACACTTAATCAACTGAGCCACCCAGGTGCCCCAAAATAAGACATTATTAAGCAAAATTTCAAATGTACACAGAAGTAATTAGTATAACAAACACCCTGTGTACCCACCCAAGTACCAACTAATTGCAATGTCAAATAAACCTTTTAATCTATGAGTCTGTTTTTTCTTCTTAAAATGGTGATAATGGGGGCACCTGAGTGGCTCAGTTGTTGAGCATCTGCCTTTGACTCAGGTCATGATCCCAGGGTCCTGGGATCGAGCCCCGCATCTGGCTCCCTGCTCAGCGGGAAGCCTGCTTCTCCCTCTCCCACTCCCCCTGCTTGTGTTCCCTCTCTTGCTGTGTCTCTCTCTCTGTCAAATAAATGAATAAAAAAATCTTTAAAAAAAAATGGTGATTATGGTCTTCTCAGGGAACTACTATAAAAATTAAATAAATTACTGTAGTGTCTAGCAGTTATAACCAGCATTCCATAAATGCTTCAGTGACCAGGCGCTGTGATACATGAGAGTGTAGGTACTATTTTTATCCTCATTTTACAAAAGTAGAAACTGAGGCTCGTGAATGTTCCAAGATGCAGAACCAGAAATCATCCGAAACCAGCATTTAAATTCAATTTTATTTTACTCCAACTTAAAAGAGGACTTTTACAAATCATAGAAGGCTATGCAAATTCTCTCCCACCCCTACCCTATTTTCTTCAAAAATACATAAGCTTTTGACGTCGTCTTAACCTAAGCAGATGTCCATGAATGCCTGAAAGAAAAAAAATACATATAAAAAAAGCCAAGAAGGCCAACAAAAACAAGGGCAGAGTGGGATGGCTTCCTGAACCCCTTGCTCATTTTGCTTAGGTATTTGCTTATTTCTGTGGTTCTCGTATGAACTGGTGACATTGGTTTTGCATCACTACGGAGAAATATAAGCCATTGTTTCCTCTTTGTGACCAGTCTTCCTTCTCCATGTACAGCATGCTGCAGACTTGGAAAAGAAGCAGAATGAGACAGAAAACAGGAAATTGCTGGGGACCGTAATCCAGTATGGCAACGTGATCCAGGTAGATCATGGCCGCTCTTCTCTTCTGGAGCTGGAGCGTTACAAAGAACAAAACTAGAAAATAAACACATGAGATTGGGTTTGGACAGCTTTCCAGCAGGACTCCCATGGAGACAGCCAGTCTGGTGCAAAACGTCTAGCATTTCTTCTTATATGGGTTGGATTCTTGGGCTTTTGAGTTGGCCCGCTCTCAGCGCGAGAAGCCATTACTCTGCCCTGTAGTTGGTAATTTAAGTTCTGTGCAAATATTTTAAGTGAGAAGTTCCCTATCTGGAAAGGAGCCTGGCTGCTGCACTTTTGTTTCACTTGCTTTCCTTGAAAGTTCTATTGGGTAAAAATTGGCTTCCCTATAACTTTTATCTGTTGGTTCAAGAGCTGGTCACAGGGGCAGTAAGAGCAATTCAGTACCTCCAGGTAGAATATTTGATGATGGGTCTTATGTCTTGTCTCACGGGTTGTGAGGTTTACTTGTTGATCCCTTGTGGCTTTAAAGTTGGCATGGGGATAAAACACACTTTAGGAAATAACTACTGGCGGGGTTTGCTAAGAAAAATCTATCTGGGTCTATCCTTGCAGAAAATAGTGTGTGAGAAGGTCCAGTGCCAAATGTAGCCTTTTTCCTTTTTTTTTTTCTTTGAGATTTTATTTATATATTTATTTTAGAGAGCTAGTGCCTGCACAAATGGGGGTGGATGGGGGGGGCGGGAGGAGCAGAGGGGGAAGGGCAGGAGGGGAAAGAATCTCAAGCAGACTCCCCCACTGAGTTCAGAACCCAACCAGAAGCTCCGACTAGTGACCCTGAGATTGTGACCTGAGCCAAAACCAAGTCCGAAGCTTTACTGGCTGAGCCACCCAGGTACCCCTGTAGCCTTTTTCTGTTTATCTAGTTGCTGGATCATTTTGATACAGACACAGAGGGTAATAGTTACCAACTTTTGAAGACCTGACCCATCTGGTTATCTTGCTTCATTATCTCCCTTTCTGAAAGATAGCACTTGCCATTTAAACTTGATTGGTTCCAAAGGAATTCCTTCCCATTGTTATTTGTGTTAGATAGAGAGCAGTGATAATCTAGATCATGGAAAAAGTAGAATTGCCACATTGGTAGTAGCAACCCTTTATGTTTAAATGGGTTATTATGATTTGGCCTTTTGGCATAGTAAAGTAGCTTTCAAATCTGTTTGAAGATAGGTCCTTCCAGTCCCACTCCAAATTCCTTTCAAGTTCTGTCCAACTGAAAAAGGACACAAGGGGCTAGGTGGACCCAGAGTTCAGTATCAGCTTTATTACTGGGCCAGACCAGTGCCTTCAAACTCAGGACTCCCTCATGTGGTTAGATCAGAGAGTATGGCTTGAACTGAAGACGGAAGGTGGGTACAGGAGCTAAGAATGTAAACCCTAAGTGTATTCCAATTCAGATTTTGTGACTTAATGACTTTGAGATTTTGGGCAAGAAACGTTCCCATGCCTCGGTTTGCTCACTAGCAAAATGGGAATAATAATGGTATTTGTTTCCTAGAATGATTGAGGGGTACCTGTCCCAGAGTAAGCTCTGAATACATTTTAGCTGATATTATTACTTCTTCGAAGCCTGGATCTTGGGATCCATCTCTAGGTAATGTCAGTTTATAAACCAACTCAGTTTAGCACCTGGACAGGTATGTGAAGGATCAGGGGCCACTCACCAGGATAACAATGAAGACTTAAGAGGGCATTGCCTTCCCCTTGTGTATAATGGCCTAGGGATGCCAGGGACTCACAAATCAGACTCGTTACCCTAACAACATGGATAGAAGAGTGTGGACCTCCTAGGAATGTTCTAGAAAGTGTATCTATTAACATGTGAAAAAGGGATATTGGCAGTTGGCAATGAAGTTCCATGCTGGTCTTGATATTTCTCCAGGATTTGAGCAATCTTTCATGTACCCTTCCATTCCCTTATAGCCTGTTAATTTGGGAAGCATTAATCACTGCTTCCTGGTATAGATCTACTATAAGACAGGTCGTTTCCCATTTAGTTGTTTGGTTCTCCCAAGAATCAAGAATAAAGTGCTTAGCACTTGAAGGTGGAAATTTATAGCAGCCATGTTATTCCACATAAAATGACTACCCCCTTATAGGGTCATCTCTTCAACTATTTCTTGTGCTCAGAAGTACCTTTCCTTAGCTCCATGTTAAGGTCAGGGATATTCAGATTGCAGTTCCTCAGCTCCTTTACATGGGATTAGGCTCCTACCTGTTAACAGATGGCAGAGTGCTGTTCCTTGCTGATGGTGCATTTTACCTGAACAGCATCCATCTTGTCCATGGCCATGTTGGGATAAAATAAAATATTTCTTCTTCCCTCTACTTCTCCCTTTGCTCTTTGTTATTTTCTAATTATTCCCTGCCTCAGGCACTTCGATGACTCTCTAACTTCACAGTTAGCTCAGGGGTGGAAGGAATGTTTGATATATATTATGTGACTGAGAGAGACATCTTAGAGATTCAGAGACCTGCTGACACTCCCCTTATTCTCTCTGTGGGTTTTCAGCTCCTGCATTTGAAAAGTAATAAATACCTAACTGTGAATAAGAGGCTTCCAGCTCTGCTGGAGAAGAACGCCATGAGAGTGACTTTGGACGAGGCGGGAAATGAAGGGTCCTGGTTTTATATTCAGCCATTCTACAAGCTGCGCTCCATCGGAGACAGTGTAAGTGCAGACTCGCAGCCTGGGGAGTGCCCCATGCCACGCCTCCGACCCTAACTGTGTATAGAAGTCAACTGGGAGAATGTTATAGTTGGAACCAGAGGCTCATCCTGTATGAAGAGAAGGGAGTCACTATGGAAACCAATGTTTGGGAAACAGGGAAATTTGGAGAGAAGTGTGACCTAAATACAGTAGCTGTGTTTTTCCTACTGAGTTTCTGAAAAAATGGTATGAATAGCTCATTACCTCAGTAACTTCACCATGAAAACAGCTATCATACATTAATGTCCCGGGCAGTGTCCCTGTCATTCTAGATCATTAGTGGAATGGAAACGCCTCTCTATTTTGGAAATAAAGTTAGTAAAGAAGGAGAAGAGAAGAGAACTAGAGACAGCAGGGAAGGAGAATGGATTTTAGGATTATTCTTCACTTGTTCCTTTATCGATAAGCCGACAGGCTCTCCGTCACATTTCAGTGACTGCAATTGGTCCTGAGCAGGCTTCTCTCCTCAGGGTCCCTAGGATATAAAGCCACTGAGATACTTGTCCATGTGACTTAGAGCAGTTCTGATACTCGTCAGCTACATTAGTACGTCATTATGTGGGCATATACTTGACAAGTATGTTTAAATGCTATTAAGCCGTTTTTCTGACCTTGTTAAGATTCCGAAATAGTTTTTTTACTAAAATGAAATGTGTTCCTTAAACAGCTTGAAATCTTGTCAAAATGCTCAGCTAGCCTTAACCTCAAACTGAGTTTTGCCATTTTCAGTATTGTTATTTAAGTTTACAAGCTTTGGGCAGTGCAGTATTCATTTATATGCTGTATCCCAGAAGCAGGTAAAAGCAGACCATTCCTTCCCAGTTGGTATGCAGTAAATATTGATCCTCAACTGAGAAGAGAAGAACAAGTCCAGTAAAGCTTAGCTTTCACCATAAGTTTTGGATTTTTTTGAGGTACTTAATATATATTTTTGAGGTACTGCAAATGGGGTTAGGGAAAATTTAATTGTATATCCTTCCCAAACGTAACAAACTGAAAATAGATGAGTTTTACCTCTTAGGAAGCCATCATTTCTGTTCTCCTTCCTTCTGCCCTCATAATAAAAGACCAAGGTGCTTTGTCCTGAATTTCATTTTTGGGAGATCTTGGCTTTCTTATTCTTTAAACTTACCTGTTCAGCTGTACCTTAGTTGAGAAGGGTAAGACGGAGTTGAAAGGTTGGTTACCTTTGTAAGATAGTGTTTTACAAACACGTGTTGATCTATTTGTGGACTCAGATCAGTTTAGTGGCTTGTGACTACCATTTTAAAAAGTGGAGTAGAATAGATAGTATCAGGCTGTCCTAAACATAATGAGGGTAAGTATTGTTTTAGGGAGGTAACTTCTGTTTTAGATAAATATAGATATGTATAGCTACACATATACACACATATATACACACACACATACATGCACATAAGTAGGTATGACCGGAATCTAATAGAGATGTATTTCTTCCTGTGGTTTGTACCAAAAAAGTATGAAAGTCATTGCTTTAGATATAGAAGATTATAGTTTTATTCGTTTAAAAATAGACTTCCTTCAGGCATTGTTCTGCTTCTACTCCTAATACTCAGAGCTTACTTATAGATCTCCATTAATATAGGAAAAGGGGGATATTGACAGTTGGCGGTGGTGTCCCATGCTGGTCTTAGCATTTCTCCAGGGATTGGACAGGGATCGTGGGACATCACTGGCTGGCCGGTACTATGAAGGGTTTGGCTGTGCTGGCTGAGGATGTGCCATATCCGAGGGGGTCGTCTAAGGATGCCCACCTGCCCTCCACCAGGGACTTCTGACCTGTTTTGTGAAAAGCTCCGTTGGCCTTTTCCTTTCCAGGTGGTCATTGGTGACAAGGTTGTACTGAACCCCGTCAACGCTGGCCAGCCCCTTCATGCTAGCAGCCATCAGCTGGTGGATAACCCTGGCTGCAACGAGGTAAGGGAAACCTCGTGATGGCTTGTGGGCAGGCAGAGGCTGCAGGAGCAGGCCTTCTTGAGGCCAGAGCATGTGCATGCTGAAAGTGACCTTATTAGTGACTTGGGGCAGCATACCTATTCTGCAGGTGAGTAACCAAGGCCCAGGATCAGGGTTGCCATGTGGGGTTGGGTGAGGGCTGATAGCTACCCTAGGGCTCAGTCTACTAAGCCTCCTATAACTGGGAGATTGTTGCCTAATTTGTTAAGCCAGAGAAGGGCCTCTTCTACCAAATTTTTCTGGCCAGAGGAGCTCCTTTTTCCAGTCTGTTTCCCTTGGGAGAATGTCTTTGGCTGATATTAAGGTGGGTGTGCTACAGGCCATCAGTGGCCTTGCAATGGGGATATGTTGATTTTGGCAATATATCTCCTTGGCCTCAAATTTGGCAATTACAGGACCAAAGGGCAGTAGCTTGATTGTGACATCAATATTTGTCTACAGGTTGGGGACACAAGCTCTGGAGTCAGATAGATGTGGAACGAAATCCCAAATCTTCCATCCCCTAGCTTCGTGTTTCTAGGCTAGTTACCGTACATCTCCCTAATCTCCCTGTGCACTAGTTTTCCTGTCTGAAATAGGTGTGATGGTCCTGCCTATTTTTTTAGGGTGTTGCTGAGGACTAAACGTCGTCATGAATACTAGTGCTTAGCCCAGTGCCTGGCATATATTTAGTGTACAAGCAGTGGCTTCTCTTGCTAGTGATGCTCATTCACATTTTAGAGTGTATTCATGGGAGTCTTTGTACCTTTGTTTATCAGCCCTTGTTTTTATTGAGCTTTTACTTTTTGGCTACAGAACAGGAGACTTGGAGAAGAAAGTGAGGTTCCCTGAGTCATTTCGAGTATACATGGTGATGGGCACAAATGCACCCTTTATTACCAAACACATCTGCCAGGCCACTTAAATTTGCGGTTCTTGTGAACTTAATGGTGTGAACTGGTAGGATTTTGGGGCGGAAGCCCAGCCCTGTTTCTTGGGCAGTAATGAGGAGTTTTGGTGGCTGGAAGACATAGTCGTGGGGAGGGATGTGTGAAAAAATAACTGTCATTCGTTTTCCAGGTCAATTCTGTCAACTGCAATACAAGCTGGAAAATCGTCCTTTTCATGAAATGGAGTGACAACAAAGATGACATACTGAAGGGGGTGAGTTTGCTACTTCTCAGGCTGGCAGCACTTGGCTCTACGTGGGGCAGCAGCTAAGTCCTCTCGTAAAATTCATTGTCCTTAAACCCTCCATGTGCTGACATTTTAGGGTGACGTGGTAAGGCTGTTCCATGCGGAGCAGGAGAAGTTCCTTACCTGTGACGAGCACAGGAAGAAACAGCATGTCTTCCTGCGAACTACCGGCCGGCAGTCAGCCACATCTGCCACGAGTTCAAAAGCCCTGTGGGAGGTGGAGGTAAGGGGTGGGGCTGGAGAGGGCGAGAGAAGATTAGGGGGTCTGTAGGGTACTTAAGCTGACGTCCTTACGAAAACGGGTCAGGATGACAGATGAACAAGCACATCGTTCGTATCCGAAGGATGCTGGGTGTGCTTGTGAAGGAAAATCATGTCCACTTGGGACGCTAACTCACAGCTGAAGCTGTAAGTTTTTCACTCTCGGCCATCTAATTGTCTTTTCCTTCCATGTCTTCCTTCCCTTTGCTCATTTGTCTGTCCCAAGGGTATGTAGTTGAGCGCCTACTCAGTGGGATACATCAGTGACTCATGTCAGGGATAGGATAGAAAGAGACACACCCAGATCACTGGGTGGCGAAGTGGCCAGAGACACTTTCCTCATGTTTGGGGGAGTGGGATGAGGGAGGGAGTTCAGGTTGGGTGAAGGAGGTGGTATCTGAGCTGGTCCGTACAGGATGACATGTATTTCTGAAGGCAGAGATGTGTAGAGTGTAGGTCACCTCATGTCAGACGGTGGCACAGAATTGGGAATATGAAACAGCCTTGAGGGTAAGGCTCAGCATCCCAGTTTGGTGGGGAGCGGAGGATAGGCACGGAAGTGAAAGAGAAACTGGTTTTGGAGACCAGAGCCTGAATGGCATCTGCCCAGGCTGGGAGGAGTTGGGATTTAAGTCATAGGCAGGGGAGGAGCTTGGAGAGGAGTTTTGAGCAGGGAAGTAATGTAATCAGTGAGCTCCTTACAGGGATAAATGATTCTGCTACTTGAGGAGATAAATGATTCTGTATGTCATTTATTGAGAGGACGTGCAGAGAGACTAGAATCATGGGACCCACAGACAGTGGCATGAGTGCTTGGTGACAGAGGTGACAGGAGCCTGAACTGCAGGGACTTGGCCTCTCCCCCCGAAGCCCTTCTCTCTGTGTAACTTCAGCTCTTGGGGTACATGCATTTCTCTGTCTTGGCTTGCCTCCTCGCTTGTTCCTCTCTTGCTTTAATGGTTTTATGTTTTTATTGAGGTATAGCAGACACAAAGTGCCCAGGTCAAAAGTATACACCTTGATGAATTTTTACATACACGTACAGTCACATAACCAGCACCTAGGTCAGGAAGTAGAAGACTAGCAGCACCCAGAAAGCTCCCTTGAGCTTCTTTCCAGCACTATCTTGTTTTTCCTCCTAGAGAAGTAACCAGTGATTTGACTTCCATCTCCATGGTTAGGTATTCTGTTCTTGAATTTTGTGTGAATGGAGTCAGACAGCATTTAATCTTTTTTTGGTCTCCTTTTCTACCCAGCATAATTATTTTGAGATTCATTCATGTTGTTGCATGTGTCAATAGTTCATTCCTTTTTATTGGTGAGAAGTGTTTCACCATAAGGTGTTCCATAATTTGTCTGTTCACCTGTTGATGTATATTTGAGTCGATCCCAACTTTTGGCTGTTACAACTAAAGCTTCTGAGGGCATTATAAATGTGTACAAGTCTCTTCATAGTCATGAACTTTCATTTCTCTTGGCTAAATCTAGAAATGGAATAGCTAGATCCTATTGTGTGTGTGTGTTTAAAAAAAACTACCAAACTATTTTCCAAAGTGCTCCTATCATTTTATATTCCTGCCAGCAGGGTATGAGAGTTCTGGTTCTTCCACATCATCACCAGCACTTGGTATGGTTAGTCCTTTTAATGCTAGCCATTATAATAGGTGTGTAATGAAATTTCCTTGTGCTTTTAATCTGCATTTCCCTGATGGCTAATGATATTGAGCATTTTTTCATGTCTTTATTTGCCATCAGTGTATCATCTTCAATGAAGTGTCTGTTCCAATATTTTGCCCATTTTAAAAATTGGCTTATGTCTCTTAACATGGATGTTGTAATACTCAGGTTTATCTTGGCTGTTGTATAGAAAACTTTCTACAGCTTGCATGATGAAAGGACTCGACTCTACATAAAGTTTTCAGTTTCTGCCTTCTCCTTTTTCTTTTTCTACTCTCCACGCCCATAGCACTCGTTGGGAGATTTTTAGTTCGTGCCTGCATAGAGACACTCTCAGTCCTGTTAGATTATAAAGCCACTGTGAGCCAGACCTTTGTCCTTGTTCACTAGTGTCACCACTACTCAGCACAGCGTTTTGTATGTTCAAAACAGTCTTTCAGAACCACTTTCCATGTGGGATTTGGATACTAGTGCCAAAAGAAAAAAAAACCCAAAAAACTTCTTCTCAACTGAATTTAAACTAGTAAGTGGAGACTAAAGACAAACTGAAAATACGGGAAGAAAGGAGGATGTAAACCATCATTTCATTAACTTAATGTGCCATTTCCATGGAGCTGTTTGTTCTGTGAGCAGGTTGTTTTTGCACAGTTGACGTCACTTTACAAACATTTTTGCATCTTGCTTTAACATGTTGTCATAACCCCCCCCCCAACCAAAAAAAAGTCTGAACCCTGCAGAAGTCACCGTGGCTGACTTGAGTCATGGAAGGGCAGGTACCATGTCTTATTCACTTCTAAATTGATAGAAACGAATGAAAGACCACAAGTTTGTATGGAGGGTGTTTGAGGTCTGGATTTCTAAAACTTCAGGTACTTAACTCAGAAGTCTACTTCAGAGCATCTTCTCTCTGTCTCTTTTTTTCTTCTGAGAAGAAACAGCTGTCTGATTCTTACTCCCTAAAAAATTGTTTCCTGCCGGTGTTTCCCTGCATATCCTCAGAAAACATTGAATGTCTCTTTTTTAATATTCTTCTTGTAGATTCTGGAATCATAAGTGCTCCTTTAAAATAAAAAAAGGAAGACAATACCATGTATAGCATTTCTTGTACAGCAGGCCTGCTAGTGACCAGTTCTCTTAGCTTTCATTTGAAAATGAAGAAATCTATTTCACCTTCATTTTAAAAATCTGTGTTTTTGGTTTTTTTTAAATAATAGCGTCATTGAGATACAACTCCTACATTTAAAGGGTACAATTTAATGGTTTGACTTAGGTCTGTAGAGTTTGGCCACCATCACCACAATCAATTTTAGAACATTTTCCTTACTCCAAGAGGAGCCCTGTATCCATACTGATCACACCTTGCTTCTCCTCAAACCACTCTCCTCCTGGCAATCACTGTTTCTTGTCTCTATAGAATTGTCTATGCTGGACGTTTCTTATAAATGATATACTACAATGTGATCCTTTGTATCTGACTTCTTTCACTTAGTTCACAGTGTTTTCAAAGTTCAACCATATTGCCATGTGTATCAGTATTTCATTCCTTTTTATTGCTAAATAATATTCCATTATATGGACATACCATATTTTGTTACTTGATGGCATTTGGATTGTTTCTACTTCTGGGCTCTTCTGAATAATGCTTCTGTGAACATTCACATACCAAGTTTTTGTGAGGACATAGGTTTTTCAGTTCTCTTAGGGATGGAATTGTGGGGTCCTATGGTAATGCTGTTTAACTTTTTGAAGAATTGCCAGATTGCACTAGGTGATACTCCCACCTGTGGTGTGTTAAGGTTCCAGTTTCTCCACATGGCCTTCATTTATGAAGGCTCTTTTTGTTGGATACAGAATTCTAGGTAGACAGTTTTTTTCTTTATGTACTTAAAAGTTGTGTATCCATTGTCATCTTGTGTGCATTGTTTCTGATGTGAATTCAGTGGTTTCTTACCTTTGTTCTCTGTACAAAGTGCTCCCCACCCCCCCACGCCCCCCACCCCCCAACCCCCCGCTGGCTGCTTTTAAGATTTTTCTTTTTATTTCTGGTTTACATTAATCTAATCATGATGTGCCTTGGTGGGTGGGTGTGTAGGTGTGTATGTGTGTGTGTTTATCCTGGCTTTGAGTTCATTGAGTTTTTTGAATCTGTATATGTATTAAACTGGGAAAATTTGGGTTCATTTTTTCTGAAATATTTTTCCTGCCCCCACGAACCCACACAGACATGCTGGATCATTTGATATTGTCTGACAGGTCACTGAGTTTATGGGTCACATTTTCCTGATTCTTATCTGTCCAGTGCCTCATGATTATATGCTGAACATTGTGGTGCTACTTTGTGGAGTATCTGTATTTTGTTGCCTTCCTTTAAAGAGTTTTGAGTATTGTTTTGTTAGACAGTAAAGTTACTTGTGAATCAGTTTGATGCTTTGGAGTCTTATTTTAAAGCTTTGCTAAATCAAGTGTGTTACAGTCTTTTTTCTTTTTTTAGGGCTGGATTGGCCCCATTACTAAGGTGTAACCCTTTTGACATTTTTGCTGAATGCCCCAGGTGTTCCATGGAATCTCTCAGAACACCACCCAGCCCCAAATGAGCAATGAGAACGTTGAGCTCACAGCTTTCCTGTCATTCTTCACTTGGCCTTGTGTGGTCTCAACTTACACATATTCAACTTGGTATTCAACCAAAAACTCAAGGAGGCCCCTGGGTAGATGTCTGGAGCTTTTTCTCTGGGTAGCTCTGTATTCTGCCCCAGCAAATTCCAGCCACTTCAGTCTCCCTAAATTCTGATGTATCTCCTCCACTCAGACCGGTGTCTTCTGCTTGGATTCTTCTTCCCAACACTACCATCCAGAGAGAATATTAAGGCAGAAAGCTGGAATATTCATGAAGATCACTTTGTTTCCCCTTTCTCAGAGATCACAATTGTGTACTGCCTGTTGTCCAACATCTGAACACAATTGTTTCCTGTATTTTATCCAGTTTTCTAATTGTCTATAGCAAGTTCATATATTATGTGCAGTGTTTAATTGTTCATGGCACCAACTACCAGTGCCAGTTATGCCGTCATGACCAGAAGCTGAAGTTACATGTATTTTTATGGTAAATTGGCCCAGGCTCTGTGAGTTTCAAGTTTCAGAGCCCTGGCTTATCTATGTGTTTCAGCACGTGAGTACAAGTATAGAATGCTTTCACAGTTTCCTCCGAAATTTCTTCTTATTTGTCATGCCTTTTATGGATGAATTGTAGAACCTTAAGTTCTACTTTATTATGATTAAAGCAAATAATCTGAAAAACATTCAGCTTTTTACTGGAATCATTTCGTATTAACTGGGAGACTATTTCTTCTTTGGAGAAACATAACACTTCCATATGTTTGACCTCTGACATTACGTATGATACTTGCAATGGCTTTGTTTGAAGATACTCATCTTTTTTTTAGCTAGTAAATATCACTCCTGAACTATGACTTATGTGTGAAGTCTCAGTGTTGTCTTAATATGGGTTGACATTATTTCCACTCGGGTTAATCATTTCTCCTCTTGTAGGTAGTCCAACACGACCCGTGTCGGGGTGGAGCAGGGTACTGGAATAGCCTCTTCCGTTTCAAGCATCTTGCTACAGGGCATTACTTAGCAGCAGAGGTAAGTAGAAGCCTCTGTGTCTTTCTCTTTCAAGCCTGAGACATTCCTTTTTCTTCATTTACCTGTGGCCATTGGGTAGTTAGATGCTCAGTCACCTTGCTTTTCCTTCTGCTTTTTGTTTCCTCCTGCCTCATTTCCCTGCTTATAGATGAGAAAAGGTAAAGATGCTTAACACATTTTAGTACTTCACAGGGATTTTGATCAAGATATGGGGAGAAAACAAGTTAGAAAATAATACTGTCAGGGGAATGTAATGTACAGCACGATGACTGTAGTTAATTATACTGTATATTTGAAAGTTGCTAAGAGAGTAGATTTAAAAAAAACAAAGAAAAGAATGCTAATCTGGGATTTAGGATTACAGAAATTTTTTCTCTTGCATTTTGCTCTCCCCACATCTTATCTACCAGCCCTGCTCCTAACATGAATGTCCAAGACTCAGCTGTAGTGAAACATGGTATGTAAAGCTGGAAGCATTAAGACACAATTTTACAAGTATTCTGGTTCTCAGAGCACTAGTGGAGTAGACAGGGTCTTGTCTTTTACTTGCAAGAATGCCAAAAATCAAGGAAATTAACTTTACCTTAAATGTCTTTAAAGGGTTTTTGAGGAAAGGCAAGACTCGGTATTGAAGGACAGGAGGAATTTACTTTTTAGTATTTGTGTTAAATTAAGGAGCCATCATACTGTGTGACAGATGCTGAGTTTTACTCTGATCTGCTAGAAGATGTACGATACACATTCATATCAGATTCTAGTCGTACATCAAAAGATACCTCCCATTGTCTGGTTCCACTGTGGGATGGCTCAGAGATTTTTCAAGGTGATGCGTGGGTGCCAGTATTGCTTCTGCAGCTGACCCCAAAGAAGGCAGAATCTAAATGTACTGAACCCCCTGGGATGCCTGATTCTTGTAAGAAGTGATGATTTTGAAATATTTAAGAACTAAGTTGAAATTGAAAATGAAGCCATAAGGAATTATGGACCCAGCTAACCAGCTGTGAGAAATGTTGATTACGTGGTTTGCCAAAGATCAATGGTGTTTGCATTACTTGTTATGTTCTGAACTGAGTGTAAACTCTTGCTGGAGGCCACAAATTTTTTATTTCTGACTAAAACTAAGGATTATCAATGACTGGATACTGATCTTTTATTTATCTCAGGGTTGTAGCTGTTGCTTTGCTAGTGAATTCATTGTGTTCTTCTGTCAACACTTGAGAGCCGTCTTTTGGTGACTGGTAGATCGTTCCGTGTGTGTTGTACTCATGTGATGTGTGTTGTTGTGGCATGCTGGTTTCATGAACAGAGGGAAGGGACAAGTTTTTAGTTGTTCAGAGATGTTCGCAGGCCTTGAAGTCTCCTGCAAGTGGGGCCGAGTCCTGGAGAAATCAATGGATGTTTTAATTTCCTAATGATTCTTTTTCATCAGGTAGACCCTGACTTTGAGGAAGAATGCCTGGAGTTTCAGCCCTCAGTAAGTATGAGCAAGAGCCTTCTTGTCTCCATCTGGTAGGGTGAGGCCAAATGATCTGGAACCCCCTTTAAGAAACTGCCATTTGTCATTGAGTGATGGGGAAGGGGACACCTTAGGATGCCTTAAAAGAGAGTCTTGTTCTATGCTTCCCTTGAGGGCAGTCATATCTTCCTGTGTTCTGATTGGTCCAAGACTGTCAGTGATGATGCTCCTTCTGTGTGCTTCGTCAAGGGGTCTCCGCCTTTAAGTTGTAGAAGTTGATGGTATCTCTTGGAATGCCCCTAGGTTAGAGACAGAGATGGCCCCTTAAGAAGTCGGCCTTTTACAAATGAATATCCGATTGCTGTTGACCTCAATCTATGACTCACCCAGATTTTTTCAGGGAATGAGTGTGTGAGATGGATAGTATCATTTAGATGATAGAGGTAACACATGAAGCATGGTGCTCCTGACATCTGATTAGACACTTAATTGTCTAACCACCTGTCCTTGCTTTCTGCAAACTCAGAAACAGACTTTATAATGTGGTTTAGAATTTAATGCCAACAGGATCCTTCTTTAGAAGCCATATAACCAATTAATGCTGATTTGGAGGCACTCGAGGGTTGAACTGTCCACAACTATGGGTTAAAGAGGGCAGTGGTTGTGTTATATAGAAATGATGGCTATCAATAAAGCACTTCATTCTGGGCTAGGATTTTAAAAAATGCAAATAATTTCTACTCGGACATTGTTTGTTCATGTGATCATCTCTGGTGAATATGGTAGGTGGTATTGAGCTTATTTCTTTTTTGCCGGGGCGGGCGGGGGTGGGGGCGGTAAAATTTCAGAAGAACTTACAGGTTTTAAGGTGGATGCATGAATAAAGGGGTTTGGGGTGGAGATAATACAGAATGCAGTTGTCTTTGGAAAGTCCAAATTCTGTGGGAAGGATGACCCTTGCAGTTATGTTAGGATAGAATGTTAGCTTCGGAAGGAAGGAAGGAAGAGGAGTGCTAGCCAAGGGCTCCACGTCCTGAGTTCCCGGATTTGCTGCAGGAGTTCCTGTCTTTTCCGATTATGGAGGGAGCAGCTGAGGGTCCTGTTCCTTCCTTTCATCTTCCTCACCCTCACTTCCAGAGCTCATTTTGAAAGCTGCCCTTCCACATTGCCTGGAAGGTGGAGAGCACTGACCTGGCCCGACTTCTTGCCAACGTGCAGGGAAATCTTCGCCCAACATCGGTGTGCAGTGTTCATGTGGTTGGTCTCCAGAGGCTGGGACTGGCAGAGGCGCCATTTTTCATAAGGCAGTTCTCGTCCCTGCACCTTCTTGATTTTGAGAGAAAGAACTGCCTTTGTGGGACTTGCATCTAAAGGTATTAGCGTGGCCATCTGGGCTGTAACACAGAGGAAGTTTCCTCTCTAAGATGACTTGGAAGGAGTGCTGTAGCTTCTGCCAGTGAGAGCCGATGTCCATTTGAACCTTGAGCTCTGTGAGGAGCGGGGCTGCTCTCCTGGCCTGTTGGTGGGCGCAGGGAGGTCTGGCATTTGTAGTGCCGGAAGAAGAATGTAGTGATCCAGATCAGGGCAGGGAAGAGAGGCAGAGCTGGGTCTAAATAGCAGACCGCCCCCTGGATGAGCTGTGTGCCTGAAGGAGCTGCGTTCCCCTCTCTGGCCCTCACGTCCCTCCTCTGTGAAAGTGGCAGATACGCTTGTCGTAAGGACCGGCTGGGGTGTGGGGCCTGAGGTACGGCCCATGGTAAGCGCTCAGTAAGTAACATTTGTGTAAGTTACACAAGATCAGTAGCATTTTTTAGTGCCTTTACATGCATGAGTTCCTCTGGGCCGCACAGCAGTGCAGTGGAAGGAGTTAGGGGAGATTATAGGATGTTTGTAGGACCGATGAGGAACCAGAGCATGGTCCTCACTCGTCACATGTCTCGGTTCTCTCAGAGTTCAGTCATCTTTCTACTTTCTCATGTTTCTCCATGCCACGGTGGTGGAATATGCCAGCAGGCTTGGGTGCAAATCCACACTGCATTGCTCTGGCTGCTTCGGATGTTGCTTGGGTGGCAGTCTTCAAATGGAGGAGCGGTTGGGGGGCTCACCCTGCACCATCGAGGCCAGCGGCCCAGCTCCTGCCTCTGTGGGGAAGGTGGTAGCCTTGGGTGAGTCCTGCACCCCTCACCCTCTTGTGGGCCGGGAAACTTGAGCAGAAAAGCTGGAGTTGGGAAAGTTTGGGAGAGGAAACTTTGTTCTGCTCGTGGGTCACGTATGTCCCCGAGACTGGCATCCAGTGCTTGTAGCAATCTTTGCCTGGAATCTTACTTAGCTTGTTGAGCTTGTCCTTCTCAATTTAGCAGCACCCATGAGCCACATGCTTGACGCCAGAGGGAGAGAAAGGACAACCCCAGGCTGGCTCTCGTCTCGCAGCCTTTTGCACTTGCACCTTTCCTCCCACTAGGTGGCAAACGCCAACTGCACACGAAGAACGCGAAGCTGCTGTCCCTCAGTCACAGGTCCAGATACGGGCACTCCGTGCAATTTTAATTTTTCTTCGGTGTTCCGGCAGGTCTGAAATTGAACTGCCAGCCTGTATAGCTGAGCTGTGTGTCTCAGGCCAGAATCAGGTCAGGGTTTATTTTGAAAGTGGTGTGTGGAAGACTTTGCAGGTCAGAGTAGTTAGAAGAGGACTGAGCTTTTTCTTGAACTGAGGTACTTGGTGCTCTCCACTTGAGTCATACTTGAGGGTAGATCGAACAATGAGCGGTGGGTTTGTTTAGGGAGTGCTACAAAGTATTAGAGGAGAGGGCAAAGGGAGGAGGACACAGAGCTTAAAAGAAGCATTTGTATTTTCTTTCTTTCTCTCTCTCCCCTCCTTCAGTCCTCCCTCCACCCCCCTCTCCCCGCCCTCGCCCCCATTCCCTTCTTCCTTTTCTCAGACAAAAGTTGGGGCTGCCGATAAACTCCTAGAGCAGACTGTTGCCTGCAATCTCAGATGTCAGGCCCTGGAAATAAATTCTCTCACGCTCTCTCCTTTGCCTGTTGAACTTGATTTCATTTTATCCCTTCCCCATTTGGAAAGGAGTCAGTGCCTCAGCCCAAGCAAAGCAAGTTAGTGACAAAGAAAATGTGATTTTCCCAGTAGATGCAAGTGGATGTTGTCTTCTTGCAAGGACGTTAAAAATTAAAAATAATCCCACGTAGAGTCACAGTGCTGGAAGACACCTTGCAAAACCTGTGAGAGGACATGACAGTCTAAGCGTGCTGCTTAAATCTGCTCAGGCAGACGGGCTCTGGAGCCGAGAATGTGTTTTTATAGTTTCTCAGGACAGCTTTCGTCATTGTTCATTAGTCTTAACTGTCAGAGATTTTCTTCAGCCTCCGCCAAATCCCTTACATAGCAAGAGAGGCCCCTTTTCCCCTGAATTGTCATCGGCAGCGCTCCTTGATTAATTACGAACATTTTTTTCAGGGCTAGTCTGACTTCTCAAATATTTTTCTTGGCCACACTGGGATCTCTGCTTACGAACACTTGGATTCAGACTTCTTTTATTTTACTTTTTCTCCTGGGAAGTAGATGTATCATATTATTGCTAGACCATTTAACCGTAGATTAACACAATGACCCATAACCAAATCCACAGGATGAGTTTTCTCAAAGAGCTGCTTTTCTCTTCCAACTACTGCAGACGGATGTAGCCATACGGACTTCTTCATCACCTATATAGCACTCCTTCCATGGACATCTGTTACTGTAACCCTGCATTGTTTAAACATTTTTATTGCAACACAAGGAGGTAGAATGTAAATATTCTTGGCGTGGGTGGCCGACTATCATCTTTCATAACTGCTCTGAAACTGTGGTTCTTTTCCTGCCAACTGCTGATGTTCGCTATTATTTCTTCCCTGTTCCTGTGGACTGTGCAGTGATTGTAGTGAGGGAAGGGTCTGACATGCAGAATCCATGACTTGATGACTTTTCCTCCTCAGGTGGACCCTGATCAGGATGCCTCTCGAAGCAGGTTGCGAAATGCTCAAGAAAAGATGGTGTACTCCCTGGTCTCTGTGCCTGAAGGCAATGACATCTCCTCCATTTTTGAACTAGACCCCACCACTCTCCGTGGAGGTGATAGCCTTGTTCCAAGGTATGATTCTAAAATGGCTTATCCCGAGTGAGTCAGAGCTGGTGTATGTGACCTGGCTGGGCTTTTTGGAATCTAAATCATACTGCCTTTTTTGAAGCATTTGTAAAGGATTTATTCTGGTTGCCCATTGGAATGTCAGCTGGTTTTTTTATGGCTCATTAATTACAAGTTCTCAGGAGTTGGATAAGAAGTGCTTTATTTAGGTAAACAAGTCAAACTGTAAGCTCAAGTAGCTCCATATTTCTAGTTTCCTCTACTCATGTCCTCACTCCCAAACTTGAGGTCTCCTAGTCAACTGAATAAACAGTTGTAAAGAAATTCTGGAAAATGAGTATGTAGTAGAGTATTGAGAAGTCAGATCAGTGTTCTTTGGTTATTTTGTTAAATGTGACTCTTAGTTTGTTTGCATAAGAATGCATTTTGGTGGAAGGAATAACTGGACTCTAAGGGGGATAAAAACTCATGCTTAACACCAAAATCAGCAGCATTATTAATAATGACTTACATTTATTGAGTGCTGACTACATGCCATGTTCAGTGCTAAATACTTTTATTTGTGTTACATAATTTCATCTTCACAACCACCTCGTCCCCCCCGCCCCTTGAGCTAGGTATTACTATTTGCCCCTTCTTCTAGATAAAGACACTGAAGCTCAGAGAGTTGAAGCAACTCATCACACGTCAGCCAATCCCTTTTGCAGAGCCCAAAGTCTTAAATGTTGAAGACAGACAGGGTTGTTGGGGGCAATTCTCATTGGCACCTGTAGGTTTTACACATGGCCCTTCCCCCTGAGTACCACTTTGTGTTTCGTTAGTCATGTGTGTCCTTGCCCTTTCCCTGTTTAACCTGTCGGTGAAACTGTAAGTGCAGTGTGGGTGCCATCAGCAGAAGAGAAGCTTCTCTCGTGCTGTCGGAGTGATGAACGAGGACAGTGTCCGCGTAGAAGAGATTTTACATTGCAAGGAGGCCTTCCATTGCCATCCAGTAAAGGGTTACTTGGTTCTTAAACTTTGCTGGGTTGTTAATTCCTTGAGAATCTGGGGAGAGCTAGACATGTTTCTCTAGAAAATCTCAAGTATGTGCACAGCTTTGCATTCTCCAGGGTTGGAACTCCTGATTTAGACTGCTTTTTTGTTGTTGTTGTTTTTTAAATAACAGATTTGTTAAGATGTAAGTCCTATGCCATACAATTCACCTAAAGTGCTCAATTCAGTGGTTTTTAGGGGATGGGCAGAGTCGGGCAGCTATCATCACAGTTTTAGAACATTTTTCCCCAAAAAGAACACTATTCCCTTTCTCCATCACTCTCATTTCTCCGTGTTCCATCTCCAGCCTTAGACTCACCTGTGTCCTGTCTTTAGTGATCTGCCTGTTCTGGACATTTTGTATAAATGTAACATGTGGTCCTTTGTGGCTGGCTCATTTCACTTAGTATTTTTAAGACTCATCCATGTTGTAGCATGTATTAGTATTTCATTTTATTTTATTGCTGAATAATATTCCATTATGTGGTTATACCACGTTGTATTCACTTATTTTTTCATATTTTGTTTTTCTAAAAGAAGGGTTAATACCCATTCTTTTTTAAAAAAATGTTATTTATTTAAAGTAATCTCTGTGCCCAACATGGGGCTTGAACTCATGATCCTGATCTCAGATTTGCTTGCCCTGCTGACTGAGCCAGCCAGGCACCCCATATTTATCTACTTATTACCTGATGGCCTTTTGGGTTGTTTGTCCTTTTTGGCTAATATGCAGCTGTGAACATTTGTGTACACATTTGGGGGGGGGAACATAAGTTTTCATTCTCTTGGGTATGTATCTAAGAGTGGAATGCTACGTCATATGGTAACTGTCTAACCTTTTGAGGAACTGCTAGACTGTTTCTCAACATGGATGCACCATTTTACATTCCGGCCATGTGTGTGTGAGGGTTCCAATTTCTCTACATTCTCTCTCTCCAGTACTTATTACTGTTTTTTATGTGAGCCATCCTGGTAGGTGTGAAGTGGTATCTTATTGTGGTTTTGATTTGTGTTTCTGTGAGGCCTAATAATGTTCATCATCTTTTCATGTGCTTTTTGGCCACTTGTGTATCATCTTAGGAGAATTTTTCCCATTTAAAAAATTGAGTTGTCTTTTTATTATTGAGTTTTAAGTGTTCTTTATTCTAGATATAAACCCCTTACCAGATATGTGATGTGCAAGAATCTTCTCCCATTCTCTAGGTTGTCTTTTCACTTTCTAGATGGTGTCTTTTGAAGTAGAAAAGTTTTTAATTTTGTTGAAGTCCAATTTATCTGTTTTTTCTTTGATTGCTTAAGCTTTTGCCCATTCGAAGGTCACAAACAATTCTGTTGATGTTTTCTTCTAAGAGTTTTATAGTTTTTGCTCTTTACTCTTAGGGCTTTGATCCATTTTGAGATCCCTTTAAAATATGGTTTGTAGTATGGTACATTGCTTTTTATGTTTTTTAAGATTTTATTTATTTTGAGAGAGAGAGTGTGTGTGTGTGAGTACAGGGGGGAGGGGCAGAGGCAGAGGGAGAGAGAGAATCCCAAGGGAACTACATACTGAGTGCAGAGCCCAATCCTGGGCTCAATTTCATGACCCTGAGCTGGAATCAAGAGTCAGATGCTCAACTGACTGAGCCACCCAGGCACTCCAGTAGATAGCTTTTTAAAAACTTCCTTTCTCATTGACTTGTTAACTAGATAAGTACAGGTCTATAGAACCCAATTGCATTTTGGTTTAAGTAATTTTCCATTTGTCTTGTCCTCTGTTCTGGTAGTTATTTAATGAATTTGGTTAGGTTCCCAGGAGACAAGGGAATGGCATTTATATTACATGCTAAATATTTTAGTTTGTGAGGGATAGCAAAGAACAGGGACCCTGTGATTTGAAATATCACATTGTTTTATTAGAAGGTGCTTCCTGGCATTCCCTTGGCAAGGGGAGTAAGGTGCTAGTTGGCCCTATTCCCCAATGGGTTGGAAATCCATATGATCCTGTAGGAAGGGGGAAGTTGAGTCCAAGATTTGAGGTCAGATGGCCAAGCAGCTTTGGCTGGTTAGAGACTCTGCTTCTATATCCACTTCGATTCATCTCTGTTTCTCTTTTGGAAAACTCTTGGTGGACAGTTGTCCATAGGTAGATGGATTCTAAACTCTTAAACAAGGCAAGTCTTGTATTTACCATGGAAAAAGTGTCTGGTATGGTCTACCAGTGTTAGTTACCAGTTATCTTGGACTTTAAAGATTTTTATCCATTCTTGCCTTTGACCAGCAACCCAGGAGCCAGAATTGAATGACCTTCTTATTCATTGGTCTTGTGGAGGGATAAAAAAACCTTAGGAGTAGTACACTCATTCCCCTGCATCTTAAAGTTGTGCTAAATATTGCTTGTTTGAAGATCAGGAAGTCTGAAAGTAGATAAATGAATGTCTCGGAAATGGTATCAGCAAAAGAATTTTTGTGATAGTTACTGGTTAAAAGAATCTTTCCAAGCCAAAATGAAAAGGATAATGGCAAATCCTGGATATACTAAACAAGAGAATAAGATTGCAATATATGTAAAATAGAGGAATTAAATGAATATTGGGAGAGCATCCGGTTTTGTGGCTGTTTTGTAATTGTCCTGATCTCATGGCTTTTAAGTTAAGGATTGGGAATGGGACTTGGGATGAATTGATAGAATGACTTTTGTGTCTTAAATATAATTTGACCTAGAACTTTATAGAATGTAATCATCCAATTAAAAGCTAAGCTCCAAGCTTTGGTTATACTTTGAAATTAAGAAAATTAGTCCAAGTCACACTCAGAAGAAAAAGAATTACAAATCTCTGTCAGATTTCTTGGTCATGTTGTTTGACCTGTATGCATTCTATTTTACGTAAATATCACTGCATTTGCCCTTACTTACAGCATTCAGGGCAGTTAGAATGAGGGAAAGCGGAAGGCAGAGAGGATGTACTGAAGATAGGTGTCTGGTTTGAGGCTCTCCCCACCCTCACCCCTTTTCCATGTCTCTACCATTGCTCTAAATTCCATTTAACACAAATGATGTCCCTAACGCAAGGACCCCTTGTCTGCCCCAGGTCCAACAATGTTCAAAGTTCCAAGTCCAGTTTTCTGTAACAAAAAACTTCCATGACTTTCTGAAGCTTCCTTCATCTCCTCCTCTAAAGGTCCTTCAGTACTCACCTTGACTGTCTGCCAACTTAATGCTTTTTAATGTGCATTTCCCATTACTTAGTATTGCTTGGTGTTCATTGATCTTGTCTCACTAATGTGGTAGATTCTTGATGCAAGAATTATGCCATTATTTCTACTGCTTCCTTAAAGCAAATTAAAAACATTGTAAAATTATCCATGTTCACTGTAAAAAAAAAAACAAAAATTGTTAACATCACAGAGAGCAAAAAAGCAAATAAAAATTACATAAAATTTAACTATTGAGAGATAACCACTGTTAACATTATGGTTTATGTAGTTTTAGACAGGTCTCTGGGCACACAGATAACATGTATATGGTTTATCATAAATAGAATTATAAGCTGTTTTTAACATTTTTTCACTGAGTATGTTCTGTACATATTTCCAAGTATATAGGGATTATAATCACCTTAAATGTTTAGTATTCTAGTGTATGTACTACAATTAACTAGTCCATTATTGAGACATTGGATTGTTCACAGCTCTTGTAGATAATGCTTTGTTGAATGTCTCTATGCCCCAGTTTGTACTTGGGCTGCCATTTTAAGTGAAAAATCTAAAAATGGGATTGCTAGGTGAAAAGGTAGATACATTTTACTTGTTTTGTAAAGTGCCAGACTCCCTTGCAGAGTTTCACCTGTTTACACTCTTACCAGGAGTGTGAGGAGAGGTGATTTCCCTAAGCTCTTGTAAATACTGGGTTATGTCAGTCTCTAAGATCTTTGGAATATGGTAGAGTAAAATGATACATAGTTTTAATTTATATAAATTATACTAAGGAGATTGAATGTACACTTCCAAGTTTATTGGCCATTTATATTGCTTTATTAAATTACTGGCTTATGTCCTAGTCTCATTTTCATTTCCAGTATTCATGTTCTTTTCTTACCGATTTTAAAGATCTCTTTATAAATGCAGATTAATAACGTTTTTATGCTATGTGGTATTCTTTCATTTTCCCAGGTTGTCCTTTCAGCTTTGTTCCTGATTTTTTTGTCTTTGTTTTTGTTTTGCTTTACAGAAGATATAAAATTTAAACTGTAGTAAAAGATGTATACATCTTTGACTTTTAAAATTTATGGACCTTCCTACCACAAGATTATTAAATATTAACTCATATTTATCCTAGTAATTTTATTTTTTGCTTTTTTGATCCATATGAAAATTTCACATGTTGCTTTATCACCTCTCATGGTATGCATTAATATAACTCAGGAAATACTTGTTGCTTTGCCTCCTCAGTTTGTTCTGAGATACTCATTCATAGGAGTGATCTTATATTTAGAAATATAGCATATCCCAATGTTAGAATCCTGATGAATGATTTCTTATTGTAAATATACTAGAACATATCTCAGTGTGCAGCCATTTGCTTCTCAGTCTATATTGTGTGTATTGTGTATATAGCAAAACACCATTTTGGTATCCTTTTTTTTTTGGATAGAATGTATTCTAGGCCAGTGGCTATAGAAAACCTAAAAATTCCTGTCTCCCAAATCCTTTGTTTTCCCCCTTTAGAAACTCCTATGTCCGGCTCAGACACCTGTGCACTAATACCTGGGTTCACAGCACAAATATCCCCATCGACAAGGAAGAAGAAAAACCTGTGATGCTGAAAGTAAGTTCTGGAACTTGGCTGCCTCCTTTGGTCTTGTGTTCCCTAATGAAAGGGCTTCTTTGAGAACAGATGGGGGCGTAGGGACTGCATTTTGTTGGCTTGGCCAGTGTGTGGTCATGGACAGACTTGAATGTAGTGAAAGAATTCTCTCCAAGGGACCTGGCTAAAGCAAGCCCAGGCTTTTTGAAATAACCAGAACTTCTTTATTCCATGGCTTTTGCCCTAAAAGTTGAGCAATTGTCTGGATTTCATGTCTATCTGAAGGATGATTTTTGGCTGGGAGAATGTTTGCTTATGCCTTGAGGCACATCAGATACCTAGTCGGTTTTCCCCAATCTTTATTATTTCTTTTCTCTCTGTGTATTTAAATATACTTTTATTTTTTTTTTTGAAAGTTCTCTCAGCCCCTTTAATTTCTCTCCCTGAACCCCCCTCTCCTTCACTACCTTCTCTAGGGTCATAGAGCATAAATTCACAAACATAGGGATTTTGTTTTTAAAAAGTGAAATGATGCTGTCACATTTTTTTTTAGTGAGGGGGGAGGTCACTGGAATTTTTTTCTTCTATTTTTATGAACATTTTCAGGTATATAGAAAAACTGAAGGAATGGTACATTGTCTACCCTTATCCTCTGAGTCAATAATTACCACTTTGCTCATTTGCTTTTTCCTTATGTATTTATAAGCATGTTTTTAAATTACAAGTCTTAACATGCTTCCTTTAACAAATGAAGGTATAAAGTGATACCAGAGCCTATTTTCTGCCTCACACGTCCCCATCATAAGAATCTCCAGAGGTAACAACTGTTAATGATTTGGGGTGCTTCCTTCCAGATGTTTCTCTATGTCTAGTTAATTTGAACTGCAAGATAGCTCCAGCTCTCTGGATAGCCCAGTGTCCCGTAAATATAGTGTTTGATTAATGTGTTGCTCTCTCAGTCCAAGAGACAGTTCCATAAAGACCCTTCTGCTTTTCAGATCGGCACCTCCCCTGTGAAAGAGGATAAGGAAGCATTTGCCATAGTTCCAGTTTCCCCTGCTGAGGTTCGGGACCTGGATTTTGCCAATGATGCCAGCAAGGTGCTGGGCTCCATAGCTGGGAAGCTGGAGAAGGGCACCATCACCCAGAATGAAAGAAGGTGAGGTCTTCCCACAAGAACCAGACACACTCATCCTCAGCCACTGTGGATTTTTTAAATCTCTTGCTTGCAGAAAGAGAAAACGCCAACTCTGAACGTCCTTGTATGAGAGGAGCAGGCCTTAGCATTTATACGTGGCTTCAACTTGTGGTTTTCAAAAACCACATTCACTTCTTTGAAAGTCTCTAAAGTCGAAAAGATTGGTCTTTTTCTTTGTCTCCAGTTTGCTTCTGGAACTACCTCACTAAATGTTAGGAGCCAGTGTTACTCTGGGATAAAATTTGATGGCTCCTATCTTGTGAAGGTGGTTATCCTTTTGTGGACAATAATGTGTTGTGTGTATTTTACGCTTTTTGGTGATTGGTTGTCCCTTTCAAGGAAATTGGGAAGAATGGATCTGCTTGTGTTTAACTGGCTCATTAGGCCTGAGTCGTCCAGGGTGAATCTTCCAGCCTATCGGACGTTGAACATTTCCCATCTCTAATAGCTTCTTTCCCCCTAAGGTCTGTAACCAAGCTGCTGGAAGACTTGGTTTACTTTGTCACTGGTGGCACTAACTCTGGTCAAGATGTACTTGAAGTGGTCTTCTCCAAGCCCAACAGAGAACGGCAGAAGCTGATGAGAGAACAGAACATCCTCAAGCAGGTTTGTGAGATGCGACGTACGGGAATCTTTGTAAGACATCAGTGGGATCCCTGCTCTTATACAGGGACATGGATGTTTCCCACCTGGAACGCTTGATCAACTGACTTTTGGAGAAAACAGACTTGATTTTATAGAGCAGTTTCGAGTTCCTAACAATAGCGAGTGTAAAGCACAGAGTTTACATATACCTCCTGCCCAGACATGTGCACAACCTTACCTATCATTAACATGCGCCACTGCAGTGGTCCATCTCTTATAGTTGCTGAACCTGCATTGACACATCAAAATCCCCCCAAATCTGTAGTTTACATTAGGATTCGCTCTTGGTGTTATACACTCACTCTTTGGGGTTAGGCAAATGTATAATGACATATCCATCATTATAATATCATGCAGAGTATTTTCACTGTCCTAAAAATCCTCCATACTCTGCCTATTCATCCCTCCTTCCCCTCACCCCCTGGCAACCACTGTCCTTTTATTGTCTCCATCATTTAGCCTTTTCCAGAATGTCCTATAGTAAGAATCATACAGTATGTAGCCTTTCCAGACTGTCTTCTTTCACTTAGTAATATACATCTAAGATTCCTGTGTCTTTTCATGGCTTCTTAGCTCAGTTCAGTTGAAAACACACTTGTTGAATGTCAACGTGTGAGCATTCACCTGTTAGGAACTCCGAGAAGAGTTCACCTGAAAACTTTATTTTCATCAAAAATTATAGCAAGTGCTGTGTGTCCTTAAGGTTATTTCATATGTCTGGGAGATTTGGAGTATTTGATAAATAGGGAACTCTATAAACCACCACAAAATCTTACCATAAAGAATGAGTAAATGGCTTATAGAACATATATAGATGGCATTATATGGCATAAATTTAAATAAATTGGTGTACAGACAAATTATAGGGGGGTAGGTGACAAGGGTAGATGAAGTGCACAGAAATGCATACCATATAGTTCTGGAAAGCTATACATTGGCTATATTCTTGGCTTAGAAATTCCTGGCCACTAAACCCCAAAGAAAAACATATTAGTTATTAGTCCTACAGTTCTCCATAGGAACTTGGGATTTGAGAATCTTTTCTTCTGTCAGTTGATGATAGACAAAATTTATTAACACTCCATCATGTTTCAGCAAGGATTTCCCATCCAAGAATAAATCGTGTCCAGCTGTTTCATGGGATGACTCCCAGATTAGACCTCAGGCTCCATGCCAATGCTCATTTTCCACCATAGTAATTCCTTGAGGGGCCAGAATGGTCGGATTCCATGGCAGAAGCCTTCATTGAGCACTATATTTATGCAACTGACAGTTATTATCCCCTTTTGTCCTTAGGACCCCCTGGGGAGCTGGGTGGTATTCTTTCCATTTTACTGAGGAGAAAACCAGAAGTTACCTCGACTGTGCTTTATACCGCTAGGGAATAATGCAGGAGTGTGATTTCAGCCTAGAATCTGCTGATTCCAGAGTCTGTACTCTTCACTGTTGCCCTTCACACCATACTTGCAAGTGTTTGAGAACCAGTTAAGTCCAGGTGGCCTGAATTCAGTGAGTAGCTAGTCCCAGTTGATGGACTGCATATAATATTCAGGTTATTGATGTTGATCTAGAGAGAGTTGCCGGTGCAGGCCTGCCACCTGTGAGGTTATATTAGTTTGGGACACAGGGCTAGCCCTTAACACTCTAAATGATGGCAGTGTCTGTTCTTCTTTCTCACAATCAGATCTTCAAGTTGTTACAAGCTCCATTCACGGACTGTGGCGATGGCCCCATGCTGCGGCTGGAGGAGCTTGGGGACCAGCGGCATGCTCCTTTCAGACATATCTGCCGGCTCTGCTACAGGGTCCTGAGACACTCCCAGCAAGACTACAGGAAAAACCAGGTTGGGATTCGGGATTGATCTAAGCTCATATACTTGCCTCATGAGTTTTAAGTCATATCGGTCGTTACTTAATTGCTAGAGAATAGTTTATTAAATTTGCACTTAGAAAGGAAACACATTTTTGCAAGCCTGAGAAAAAGACAGAGTCCCTAAGAAAAATACCTGAGAAGTCCCCTTCTGCAGCCACCTTTCAGTGAGATTTTTTTTTTTTTACATTTCTAGTGTTTTTTTATAGCACCGTACCTTAAGGTTTAGGGAAGTGATTGCATGTGTTTATATTAAAGGTAGAGCAGAATCTTTTCTTCCTGCTTCCTTCCACATCCTCCATGTCTGCTGGTAACTTTCTCTTTATTTTGGTTTTGGCTAATGTTTTATGACATTCGAAGTCCTTGTGTATGTCATGGCACTGTCTATATTGCCCTCTCCCCATAAAATAAAGGTTCTAATCTCTCTGGGGTTTCCCATCAACTTGAGATTTTTAAGGAAACCTGTGAACTGTGTTGTCACATTTAGTAGTTCTCAGCTGGGACTAATTTTGTCCCCCAGGAAATACTTGGCAATGTCAGGAGACCCTTATGAGTGTCACCACTTGGAGGTGCTGCTGGCATCTAGTGGGTAGAAGGAATGTCCAGGAATGCACACGACATCCCCGGACAACAAACAGTTATCCAGCCCCGAAAGTCAGTAGTACTGAGCTTGAGGAGCCCTGCACTTTGTGACATGAAGTACTGTAGGTGCACAGATGATGCTTTTGATAACCTTGACTCCCAGTCTCTGTATTGTGTTACGAAAGGCTTTTGTTTGTAAACTTTTGACTGCCACGACATCTGGCCTTTAAATTTAAACTTCCCCTTGTAATTAAAGTTTTGTCATGAAGGTGGTGTTAAGCTGAGGCAATGTTCTAGAGTATCAGATAGAACCTTGTTAACATGTATTGCTAAGCTTTTGACTTGACTTTTACTACTGTTGAAATTGAGAGTGTCTTATACCTATGATGCTGTGTTCATTAGTGTGGACAGGTGGTCTTTGGGTGCTCTGGTGGCTTTAAATCCACCTGCAGTGCATTAACACCATACTCCAATAGTGCCAAAGAGATTTTATTCTCTTCCTCTCTGCCATCTTCAGATGAGGATGACTCAGAGCCTCTGGTGTGTGCCAGAACATTTTGCTTGTACATGAAAACACCCAGTCCCTCTCGCTGCTGCTACATTGACTGTCTTTGCTTTTTATCTATAGATTCTATGCCACTTGACAGTAGTATGTCCCTGAAGGCTGGTGAATTCCCAAACATGCATCCTTATTGAGCATGGGCTGAAAAGTGGCATCCCCTGTGGACACCCTGAGTAGTTTTTAGGATTTTGGAGTTAATTAAAAAAAAATTAAGCCAAATTTAAAGGGCTTTTAGAACTTTCAGTACACAAATAGTCTGTCTTGGGAAGGGATATATCTTTGAATAGAAACAAACAAATACCTGCAAGAGGCTTCCCTGAGTTCTCATATATTTTTATGGAATGTCATGTCTGATCCCCAAAGAGAGAAGCCAGAGATGTTTTCATATGTTCTGTGAATCTGATTGCCTGGCTTAGGTATTCCTAACTTGCTTCTGCTACCCATTGGCTATAAAAATGTATTTTCACCCCAGATAAAGAAAACAGAATGGGGTAATATTGTTCTAAATATCTAGGTAGGCTTAAGTGTGTTTATTCAGCAGTACAGAGCAGTAACACACAGTTAAATCTCTTGAATTAGTAATAAAATCAGAGCTGAAATACCGCTTTTGACCTTTTAGAAAAATAAGTCACATTAATATTTATCCTGTGCACTTAATAAAATGCCCATCTGTACATACAGGATAATTTGCTTAATTACATTTGTGTGGCAGGTTTAGTGAAATGAAGGATGTGGGGGAGTTTGCAGCTGCTGTCCTAGGTTAGAGAGTTGTGGAAAGATGCTCCACTAGGACTTCCCTTATGAACAATAGTTTTCATCAGGGACTATTGCTACTGCCCTTCGTTTTGGGTTAACCTTAATATCTTTTGTTGTTTCTGATGACCTCTCTTTTCTTCCTTAAAAGGAGTACATAGCCAAGCAGTTTGGCTTCATGCAGAAGCAGATTGGCTATGATGTGTTGGCCGAAGACACGATCACCGCCCTGCTTCACAATAACCGAAAACTCCTGGAAAAACACATCACTGCTGCTGAGATCGACACGTTTGTCAGTCTGGTGCGAAAGAACAGGGAGCCCAGGTGAGGCAGAAGTGGACCTGATCGGCGGAAGCTCTCTGGGCACTGAAGATGCAGGCACTCAGCTAGTCATGGTGCTTTTGGTTAGGTTTACTTTTTGAGGGCTGCCAGTGACAGATTTCTTTTAGGCCGGCCTTGAGAGGCTCTTTGATGAGTAGTGGAAAGAACATGATATTGGAATAGACCCATAGTGGAATCCTAGCTCTAATATTTACCAGCTAGGTGACCTTCACTTTCCCCTTGAGCTTTAATTTCCTTCTATGCTAAATGGGTGGTTATGAAAACTGAATGAGAATAAATGCATGGGAAGTGCCTGGTACTTAGTAGATGCACAGTAAATGACAGTTTTGGCCACTCAGTCACCGTTTAGCACCCCCTGATTATCAGAACATCTCCCCCAAATATCATCAGTAAGAGTCTTTTGTAAACTTAGTTGTTACTTGAGTGTTTTTATGTTAGAATTCTGTCTTTTCTTATTTACATATATCTCCCTGTCTTCTTACTCTCTTCCCTCTTCTCCTGATTAAGATCCACAAGATCAGGGTGCCTGAGTGGCTCAGTGGGTTAAGCATCTGCCTTCAGCTTGGGTCATGATCCCAGGGTCCTGGGATAGAGCCCCATGTTCTCCCTCTCCTTCTGCCCCTCCCCCTGCTTGTACTCTCTCTCTCTCTCTCTCACATAAATAAATAAATAAAATTTTTAAAAAAGAAAGGGATCCACAACATTTTAGAAGTGGGAAAGAGTGTATAATATAGTTATCGTGAATGATCACACTAGAGAGCTGATAGTGTTGTTGTAAAATGACTCCTCCCACCCACAGAGGTAAGTAAAGTTTGTGGAGCATTCTCACGTACCTGGGAGTGAACTAAGTCAGCACTCGCCATGAATTATCTCATTTAATCCTCAGGACAGTTCTCTGAGGTTATACGTTACCCTCTGCTGTAGATGAGAAGAGTGAAGCGCAGCGAGGTCCAGAAACCCCCCCAGGTCACACTGCATATGGGAACATAATTAAGGAGAATCAGAGCAGGGATTCCAACTGGGACACTCAGGCCTCAGAGCCTTTCCTCGCCTCTCTGCTTCCCCTCCGTCTTCCCCACGGCTCCCTTACGTGAGCTTCTTCCTTATCTTGTTTTGTGCATTTTTTTTTAAAGATTTTATTTATTTATTTCACAGCGAGAGAGGGAACACAAGCAGGGGGAGTGGGAGAGGGAGAAGCAGGCTTCCTGCTGAGCAGGGAGCCCGATGCGGGGCTCGACCCCAGGACCCTGGGAGCATGACCTGAGCCAAAGGCAGACACTTAATGACTGAGCCACCCAGGCGCCCCTGTTTTGTGTATTTTTGCCTCATCACTTCCTCGTATGCCCCAGCCACTGTCATCTTTCCTTGTTTGCTTCTTTCTTTCTTTCCTCTCTTACAGAGACTGGGTTTCTGGTGGTGCCGTAGAGACTGGCACCAAAACCTAAACTGCCTCTGATTTCTTTGGTCCATGCTCTGTTGGATCTGTCCACTTGCAAAGAGTTGGGCTCCAAGAGCCAAACCTCTGCTCTGGTTACAGAAAATGTCTTATTTGCCTTCTCCTTCTCTCTCTCGACAGATTCTTAGATTATCTCTCCGACCTCTGTGTGTCCATGAACAAATCAATCCCAGTGACCCAGGAACTGATATGTAAAGCTGTGCTGAATCCAACCAATGCTGACATCCTGATTGAGACCAAGTGAGTGGGGGTCTTGGGATTTAAGATACAGGTGAGAAAGGGATTTAGGTAGAGAATGTGTGGCTCAGTGGATGCCTGCACTCCTGACTAATAGAACTTAACCCTTTGATTCTTCAGACTTGGTCTGAAGTCGGATGGGCTGGCATGGGATCTGCCTGAGGCAAAGGTCTTGGATAGGGAAATGAAGTTTGCTCTGCACTTACTTTGCACACTGGTTGAAAACTGATATGTATTCACCAGAGAGCATTTGCACACACTTAGTTTCATTTTAAGAGCTTAAAGTTCTTTAAGTATGATTATCAGTTTTAAAATTTGAAGGTGCTAATTCAACGGTGATATTAAGACACCGTAGGGCAGAGCTTTTTAAGTTATCACTGTTCAAAAAGTGTTTAGTGGTGCATAGAAACTTTGGTAATAGTGGTGATTCATTTTTAGCAAAGGAACCGTTTTCCTGCTAAGTACAGTGGCAGTAATAGGGCCAATGTTGAAAAAACAAATCAAAACAAAACCCCAAACTCAATTAGGCCCTGAGCTAGTGATTTTTTTTGTTTGTTTCTCATGCATAACTTAATTTGGGGCTTGGACTAATGCAACTTGAGCATTTTGACATTTGGGCCTGAATAATTGTTTGTCATGGGGGACTGTCCTGTGCATTTAGCAGCATCCTGGGCCTCTACCCAGTAGGTGCCCATAGTACCCCTCCCACTCCGTTGGGACAAACAAATGTGAAAATGTCTGCCGACATTGCCGGATGTCTCCTTGAGAGGGGGCGGGGCAGGGCAGACAAAATCACCCTGCTTGAGAACCACTGGGATAAAGTATATGAAGAAGTTAATGTTTGGCTCTTTGTGATCCTGCCATTGAGGGAAGGAATGGTTTTCATTTTATCTTCAGACTGAAAGTGAAGCTAGATTCCAGCACTAGCAAGTGTTTCAACATAATGAGTTTTCCCTCTTCCTCTTACTGTCCAGGTTGGTTCTTTCTCGTTTTGAATTTGAGGGTGTTTCTACTGGAGAGAATGCTCTGGAGGCAGGAGAAGATGAAGAGGAGGTGTGGCTCTTTTGGAGGGACAGCAGCAAGGAGATTCGCAGCAAGAGTGTCAGGGAACTGGCGCAGGACGCCAAAGAAGGACAAAAGGAAGACCGAGACGTCCTCAGCTACTACAGGTGACAGGGAGCCCCACCAGGCTTGGTTGGGGTGCCCTGAAAAGAATTTATTGCTTGTTTGTCCGATGGCTCCAAGGAACCACGAGTTGCCACCTGTCTAGCAAATGCTGTGTATTTTAGGAGTTGGGAGGGTAAGGTTTCATTGATACTTACGGGGCTCAGTAAGTATCTAAAATTGGTTTCCAGATGTGGCCAGGTCAACAGAAGAGTGGGTGCTTGCATCAGCCCCTAGTTACCGTTTCCCCTTAGCAGCACAGGAAGTATATGCATGTTATAGTAGTTAGGAGTCAGGCTGCATGGTCAGACTGCTTGGGTTCAAATCCTGACCTTCTACATATGAGGTTTTTGACTTTGGTCAGATTACATACCTCTGCATGCCCCAGTTCTTTAATCTGCAAAATAGGGACAACAGTGCCAACCTCCTAGAACTTTTGCAGACAGAGCTAGGAAGTGAGTGTGTGTATTCACACATATATGCATATTTATATACATGCACCCATGTTTCTATTTCTATATCTGTCTGTACAAATATATAATGAAACCGTGAGTCCATGTCAGTACTTCCATTCCAAAACCCATGGGGTTATTGCAGCCTTCACCTTTCCATGTGCGTAACTCCATCCTGCAGCAGAGAAACCTGGCTGGCCTTTGCCCTGGTGTGTACCTGTTTGCTCACTGTCCACCTGTGCCGGTTACCTCCTTCAGCCCCAAGGTCTCCCCGGTCCCAGTTTTAAAACCTGCTGGCCCTGCCACCTCAGGGAAGGCAATGGAGAGGAAAAGGGGAGGGGGGAGAGCCAATAAAAACTTTGCAAAGAGAAGAGAAGGGAAGATGGCAAAGCGCTCATGGCATTTTTTAATAAGTAAAACTTCATGGTTATGGCACCCTGTTACCTCCTGCGTTCCCTTGTCCTGCCTTCCATTTGTGTGGTGCGTACCCTTCCACATTCTCGGTGTGTTCGAATTTTACTACATTAGTGCGCATTCATAACAAATAGAGTATTTTCGCTGTTCCTAGAAATGTATGTAAATGGTCCTGTACTGTTCCATTCTGAAGGCTGCCTGATTGATTCTGTGTTGCTTCTGAAATGTGTTCTTGGTAATGGAGGTAGATTGGTCTAATTTCGACAGCTGAGCAGTAGTCCATTTTATGATGCCACATTCTCATTGCTCTTTGATATTCCATTGTATGCCACAGTTTAGCTTTTCATGTCAGGGAACATCCTTATTCAAAAGTGTGCCTATGAGTGAGAGTTTCCATTTCATATCAGGAGCGGAATTGTTGAATTGGCAAGGATACATATTTTTAAACTTTACTCAGCAATCCTAGATTGGATATTTTGGCACACACTCCCACCAGTTGTAAATGAGAACTTTGTTTCTCCTGGTCTTTGCTAGTTCTGAATATTCTGATGCTTTTTAATCTTTGTTAATTTTATAAGCATGAAATAGAATCATATTTTAATCTGCATTCACTGGCATCTAGTGAGATTGAGAATATTTTCAACTCGTGGTTATTGATAACAAATAGGATTTTAGATTCAGAAGCCAGTATTTACCACTTTGGAAGCTAGTGGTTGGCTTATTTCACATGAGAATTGTTTACTCTTTTAATATTTGATATGTCTTCTCCTGAGGGTGGATGAGAAAGCGTGCTTCCCTGGTCCAGTATGGAGGGTGACAAAGATCTCATGTAGTTGGATGAGGAATAAAGCATAAGACATTTGGAGGGGTCCCCTACTTTGCACACCATGTTTTTCATGTAGAAGTCAAAGTGTAGGCTTATATGAGATAAGATCCTAAGAGTATTATAAAATTTCTGATTAGACTCAACATGGGAGATACCTTTAACATTTTCTATGTGGTCTTTATATACTGTATAAAAAAACAGCTGACAACCATTTTAGATGTAACATTTTCCGCTTATTTCATAAAATAAACAAGGGCAAAATGGAATCAAGTAGTCACGTAATTACTCCCAACTCAGCAGGCTGGACACATATGACTAGTGGTGTAGCTTGAACTGTTCTTTTATTGGCCTGGTACAGAAGCCATTTAAGCATGTCAATGTGTAAGTTCAGGTGACCAAATGTCACTCCTATGAAAGTTGGGTCTATCTGGACTGACCTGCTCTGTTTCCATTCATCCTCAGTGAATTCTGATTTCTTCCTATAACTTTACCTTTCTCCAGGTACCAGTTGAACCTTTTTGCTAGGATGTGTCTAGACCGCCAGTACCTGGCCATCAATGAAATATCAGGCCAGCTGGATGTCGACCTCATTCTCCGCTGCATGTCTGACGAGAACCTGCCCTATGACCTAAGGGCGTCCTTCTGCCGTCTCATGCTTCATATGCACGTGGACCGAGATCCCCAGGAACAAGTCACTCCCGTGAAATACGCCCGCCTGTGGTCTGAGATTCCCTCAGAGATCGCCATTGATGAGTGAGTCTGGCTCCTTCTTCCTGCCAGGACCTCATGTTTTTAAAACCTCATAATGTTTGGCGTCATGGTAGACAAACCACTTATGGTCACGTTAGGTCTAGTTAAATCATAGAAGCAAGGTGAAGTCTTGTTTTGTTTTTTTTTTTTCATTAAGCTTAAAATTAAAAAGTGTGTGGCAAATACTACTTGTTTTTGGAAGAATGCAAAAGATGGCATGATTATATTTTTTATATCTTTTCCCTTTTTTTAATTCAACAAATATGTGTCTCTACTTTGTGTCAGCCCTAAGTAAGGTATCTTGAACCAACCAGAACACTATCTCTACACTAGGGAAAAGAGATACAAACAAGATAAATGATTCCATATCTTGGTGATAGGTGCTAAGGAGGAAAAAATAAAGTGAGAACAGGGTGGGATACGACGTGTTGGGGAGGGCTCCTTGGCTTTGCGGCTGGAGCAGCTGGGGAAGGCCGAAGTGCAAAGATCTTGGAATTTGATTTCCTTTTCTTTCTCCTTTTCTTTTAGCTATGATAGTAGCGGAACTTCCAAAGATGAAATTAAGGAGAGGTTTGCACAGACCATGGAATTTGTGGAGGAGTATTTAAGAGATGTGGTTTGTCAGAGGTTTCCTTTCTCTGATAAGGAGAAAAATAAGCTTACCTTTGAGGTAATTCATGATAAAATGATCTTTTATCTGCTTTTCATTGGTCATTCTTCTGTCGGGTAAATAGAAAATATTTTAGGATGTGGTGATTTCTATCATGAGACTCTAGTTTTGTAATAAAAAGGAATTCAGCTCAGTTTTGTTCAGAATAAAATAGAACTGTTACCAGTCACTTGGCTTAATGGTAGTTAAGCTCTTAGAAGTACCACCCAGGGTGAATTGTATCATGTGAAATGGTAGAATATTAGGTATATTCTGTACATTATTTTAAAAATGGCAGGAAAGAAACAGACCGTGTTTGGGATCTGTCACAGATTAATCATTTGAGGTACATAAATCCTTGTTACCTTTGAGTTAAAATGTTTCTCTTTGAGATCACCTTTCCTTGTGAGGAGTTCTATTTCTGAGAATTGCACTATTGTTACCTGTGTTCTCTTTGGCTATAACGTGGCTGGCCCTGTAATATCTTTGGGAAGCTGCACAGACACATGATTAGGTCAGTTGCTGATTAGCTAGTTATTGAAATAGGTCAGTAGCTTTGCAGTTTTTTGTTTCTTATTTTTTTTCTCCTATGAAACAAAATGAAATTTGATCAGAAATGGCAAACAAAGTATATGCCTTCTCTTACCATAACGAGAGTCAGAATTAGTCATTTATCAGCTAGCCAACATAAAACTGAAGGGTACAGTTGATGAAATACCATCTCTCTCTCTCTCTCTCTCTTTTGTTTTAATATAACAGGTTGTAAATTTAGCTAGGAATCTCATATACTTCGGTTTCTACAACTTCTCTGACCTTCTTCGATTAACCAAAATCCTCCTGGCCATACTGGACTGCGTGCACGTGACAACCATCTTCCCCATTAGCAAGATGGCAAAAGGAGAAGAGAATAAAGGTAAGAGTGTTGCCGCGAAGTAGAGGAGTGGAATTTGCTGGCACCCACATGCCTGGGACACGTCCTCCCAGCCTCCCCTTACTGCTCTTGTCATGTGTTTCCCCGTGAGGTCCTGTCCTCTCTTTTGTCCTTTTCTTCTAGACTTTTCATTATGGATACTTCCTTTTTTTATTTTTAAATTTTATTTATTTATTTGAGATAATGAGGGCAGAGACAGAGCACACACGAGCGGCGGGGGGGCGGTGGTGGACGGCAAGTAGCAAGCAGAGGGAGAAGCAGACTCCCTGCTAAGCAAGGAACCCCATGCGGGGCTTGATCCCAGGATTATGACTTGAGCCGAATGTAGATGCTTAACCAGCTAAGCCCCCCAGGCGTCCCCATTATGGACATTTTCAAACAAAAAGCAAAGCTGAAAGAATAGCACCGCAGACACCTATAGATCCACAACTTTGGGTCCTTGATTATTCACATTTTGCTCGATTTCCTTTAGATTTATATATGAGTCTATGTGTCTATTTTGCCAAACCATTTGAAAGTTATCTAACAAATTGAATGCTTATCTCTGAAGAACACATGTCCTACCCTCATATTCGATGTGTTGTGAGGCATTTAATGATGATATTAGCGTATGATGAAATAAATTCCAAACCTGTATTTCCAATCTGTGAATAGGAAAATCTGCCTTTGTGTGTGTATTTTTTTCCTCTTTTAGGGTCAGAGTGGGCACGTACTAGGTACTCGTGTCTGGATAATTGTTGAACTTGTCTCTACAGCTAGAAGAGAAAAAGTACATCTCCTTACCTCCCTCTGTCTGTCAGGTCTTGTGCTGTTATTTCACATATTTTTCACCATCTCATCCTCCGATTGAGCTCTTTTATTCTCATTTTAGAGATGGAGAAGCTGAGCCTCAGAGGTAATCCAGTGTACTCAAAATCAGTGTTAGTAGCAGCACTCAATTTGTGCCTTGTTAACTCCTGTACCCCTAATTTTGTGCATGGCAATAAGCATGTGCTAGGTGACCAGTAAAATTTGGCAGGTGAATTAATACACAGAAATGCCCCTTTGGGGATTTCAAAGCCCATGTATTTTCCACTACTCCTGAATCCCTAAATTTTTGATGGGTATTAAACTTTTCTGGTTCCTAGGGTCCTGAGAATATGTTGGAACAGGGACTTGTTAAATAATATGCTCGAGCCTGTGCCCCCCTGCCAGGTGTCTGAAAGCAGTCTCCCGAAATGTTGTCATGACTGAGGTCTGTCCTGGCCCTCTCTAGGCAGTAATGTAATGCGGTCCATCCACGGGGTTGGAGAGCTGATGACCCAGGTGGTGCTCCGGGGAGGAGGCTTTTTACCCATGACTCCCATGGCTGCCGCCCCTGAAGGCAACGTGAAGCAGGCAGAGCCAGAGAAGGAGGACATCATGGTCATGGACACCAAGTTGAAGATCATCGAAATACTCCAGGTAACCATCAGTTAGAGGCGGAGAGGAGTGTGCTCACAGGGCTACCATCTGGATTGTGTCCTTGCTTTGATAAAGCCCTAGACCTTCTGGGGAGAGAATGGAGATAAATTCTTAGCTCATTGTTAAGTGCCATTTGTGAACCAGCTGTCTTTATCCTTCTACTATCATCTCATACCCCTTCCGATGTGCCCTTTCCCTCCAGCCATGACAGAATTTCCTGTAGTTACCTTAGCTTTTCATGATCCTTGCCCTTTATGTCTTCACCCAAGCTAATTCACTTAGTTCGGCTTCTACATAAAGCTGGATTCCTTGCTTATCGTTCATAACTAGTTTAAGGCTCCATCAACTTGGCAACACCTGCCTCCCTCCCTCCCTTCCTTTTTCATTCATTTATTCAACAAATATTTATTGAAGCTGATTCTGTGCCAAGTACTTTTAAGCATCGGAGATCCAGTACTGAACAGCATAGATTAAATTCCTGATTCTAAAGAGCCTGCATTTTGGTAGGAGTCATAGGCATGTTAAACAGGTATACTGTGTCAGATAGTGGTAAGTGCTAAAGATACTAAAATCTAAAGGAGGGTTAGGGTGGTTTGGAGGCCACCAGGGGGTGGGGATCAGGGATACTGTTTTTGATGGGGTTGTCAGGGCTACTCTAGTAAAGCAACGTGATCAGAGACCCAAATGAAGTGAGGAAGCTAGCATGTGGATATCTAGGAAAAGTCTCTGAGGCAGAGGGAACAGCAGTGAGAAGACCCTGAAGTTTTGGAATAGGTTGGGTTCGAGAGGGAACAGGAGAAGATGAATCAGGGAGTAAGTGCAAACAACTCTTTTGAGTGGATTTGCTATAAAATGCACAGAGAAATGGAGAGGTGCCTGAAGGGTGATTGTTGGTCACAGGAAGTTTTTGTTGTAGTATTTTAAGTTGGGAGTTTATAGCAAGTTTGTGGAATGGAATAGTCAGCTAGAGAGGGACAAGTTGTTGACATAGGAGAGAGAAAATAATTGTAGGATTGGGCAAAAGGAGGTATGGGAGCCAGTCTGCTGGAGAGAGGGATTGGTCTTAGGTATGAGAACCCTCCTGTGTTTTCCCCTTTCTGCTCACGTAGGTCATTTTTATTCATCAACAAAATCATTTCCTCCTTAATAAAAAGAACACTGTTACCCCTTTTCTCTTTTATCCCATGCTACCTAATGCCAACCCCAGAATATGTAATAGGTGATTATCAGTGTTTATAGATTTAAGAATTTGTATTTTGAATCTGAAATCACATTTTATCAATAGTTAGAAAGCATTCATGAGAGTCCTCAAATAGTTAAGGCCATAGAGAATGACTCAGAAGAAACCTCACTGAATTTTTGCCTGACCAAAAGTTGAGAAGGACTTCTTAGGCTGTGGCTTATGCGTCCCAAGTACATTAGTGTCATGACTGTGTATCAGCAGTGATGCAGTGTAAACCTAGATCACACCTTCAGGTCCTTTCGCTGTCCTTGTCTTAGAACAATTGATCGGTGGAGTCATTGTTTTGGCAAATACTTATGAGCCCCCACCATATGCAAGGCACTTTGCTGGCCACTAGGAGGAAGGCACAGATGATTTGGACAGAGATTATATCCACAAGAGACTTACAGTCTAATAGGAAAATAAGGAAATGAAACTCTGAGAAAAGTGTTCTCCTGGGACACAGGGGTGGGTCATGTAATCCATTTAGTAAGCACCAGAAAAGGTTTTTACAGAGGAGGTGGGATTTGATCTGCACTTTTAAGCATGGACAGGATTTATAGTATAGAAATAAGGGGACATTCTCAAGTCCCCTTAAACTTGGAGCAGGTTGAAGGAGGGCATGACTTCACACGGGACCGTAGCACCTCCCCTTCTAAGGTCCCCTTAGAGACCTGGAGTGTGTGGAACAGAGGTTGTCAGAAATGAGGTTGGAAGGGAGAACCAGGCCAGGTTCTAGAGAGCTCTGGGTGCCCCAAGTGTTAGGACTTTATTCTCTAGTGAGCCTTTGAGGATTTTTATACAGGGGACTAATGTAAGAATAAACACCTTTGGGAGGTGGATCTGGTGATGGCAAGGCAGGAGATAAGAAGGATGTGAGCAGGGCTGTGATAGTCGGGAGAAATCTAGGAGAAGTGGTGGAAGTGGGACCACCAGTAGGACTTCATCTCTGATTATATTTGAGACTCTGGGAAGACCCCAAATGGGATGTCCAGTAGTCAGTAGGAAACAATGACCAAGAGCTCAGAAGGCAAGCCAAGGCAGTGTCTCAGTCTGGGAGAGGTGACTGCCCTGGGACTGGGGAAGGTCACCAAGAGCGCAAGGCAGAGATGAGGAGAGAGTGGAAGGGAGAATGTCACTAAGGTCCTCAAATAACAGTATTGTGGTTGATTTTTTTTTTTTTGGCTCTAGCAACAATCAGGGAAAAGGTAACCTTGCTTCAGAGTAGAGGGCAAAAGAATGTAGGAAGTCAATGAAGAGGGAACCCAAGGGTTGGTATATAAATCAAAGGAAACCATCTCAAATGAAAAATATGGACCAAGCCTATTTCTAGTAGGAAAAACATATTTTTCTCTGTTAATTCTTTTAAATTAAAGCAGCCAACTTCACCCTTCTCAGGGCCCAGAATTGGCATTTACTACTCGCTGAAGTAATGTTTTATAGAGGATGGAGGAGGGAGTGAGTGGTTTATTGTTCCAATTATTAAATTAATTGTCTGGATGTTGAAGTTTGCACTAGAAGCTAAGGTGCTGTGGACAGGCTTGATATACCCCATGGAAGTCTGTTGTTAAAGTAATTGTTGAATTCTAAGCCAAATATTTGGCTCACTTAGTGCTTAAGGTAATTGATGCAACAGATACCAGGCCCAGCCAGAGTGCAGTGGCTTGGCAAAGTGTTACAGGTGGTATGCTAATGTAACCAATCTGTTTCCATTTCCACTTGAATCTTTAGTTTATTTTGAATGTGAGGTTGGATTATAGGATCTCCTGCCTCCTGTGTATATTTAAGCGAGAGTTTGATGAAAGCAATTCCCAGACTTCAGAAACATCCTCCGGAAATAGCAGCCAAGAGGGGCCAAGTAATGTACCAGGTTAGTGATTCCACAGTGGGATTTCAGCCATAGAATGGGGTGTGGGTCTAATAAAAGCTGGGGATTCCAACAGTACATTCTAAAGAAAGGGTAAAATATGAATATTTTGAAGATTATTGTAATTAAGAATGAAATCCTGGGCGTTATCCTTTTTGAACAAAAGAATAATTGAAAGAGTTTTGATCTCTTCTGGGTTAGGTCTTGTTTCCTTCCATCTTGGAGTGCCTTAGTCATAAGACAGCTGAGGGTTGTAGTGTTGTGGTTACATGAAATGCCAAAAAAAAACCAAAACCCTCTAAGAAAATGTATTGTCTACCAGCAACTTTTACTCATGATGGAAGTTTTTCCTTGCCCAAGAAATAGTGATGAAGTGTACAGGGAAAGGTGGTGGTGATAGACATAATCCCACCTATCAAGGCCTGAGCTTGCTTGGCATGAGGTCGTCACTCTGCTCTACTAAGGGGATCGTGAGTTGGTAGAAAACTGGCAGAAATGTGGAACAGTGCACACCAGAGCCACTGGACAGTGTGATCTGGGTTGACCTGGCTCTACAGTTTTACAAGATAAGATTCTGGAAGACTTGAAGTTAACGTAGGGGCGGGGCAAGGCTATTTTTGGGAAAGTTCACCAAGAGCCCGTTTTTTTTTAGACCTTTCTACATCTGAAGCTATGTTCTCTACCTTTGCAGGTACTCTTGACTTTGAACACATTGAAGAGCAAGCAGAAGGCATCTTTGGAGGAAGGAAAGTATATTTTCAGTGTTTGGTTTTGTAGGTGGTTCTAAGATTGGGAAGCCTCATTTTGTGTAGCTCTAAAAGACTTTCCCTTCATTCTTCTAGGAAACAATTAGTCTTTGGGTTTAGGTTATTTTATGGCTCTCTTTGTAACCCTTAGTGCTTAGGTCAGAATGATATTAGTTGGCAGTGTGTGTGTGTGTGTTTATGTATTTCCTGTGTGGATAGAAGGAATGTAAGTAGGTTTCCCCAAATACACATATTAAAAGATTTTTTTTAATGGTGCAAAATAGGGTTGAAAGAAAGAGGGGATTGAAAACAAAGTGAGGTTAGCAAGATCATGTGTTTCTGCCGCTGGTGGACTTCCATTTTTGTCCCTGAGCTCTTTCGAGACCATGCAACAATAGAAACACACATTGTCCCTAACATTAGACAAATGTATGATCCCCTTTTTAAAAGATCAGATTACTCAATGTTGACTTAAAACATTATTATGAGACTCAAATACCTACAAGACTCGAATAGCCGCAAGCTCATATAAATACCCTATGCACATAGTTCTTTTTTAAAAGATTTTATTTATTTGAGAGAGAGAGCATGAGCTAGGGGGAGGGTCAGAGGGAGAGGGAGAAGCAGACTCCCCACTGAGCAGGGAGCCTGACACAGAGCACAATGCCAGGACCCTGGGATCTGACCTGAGCCGCAGACGCTTAACCAACTGAGCCACCCAGGTGTCCGCCGCATAGTTCTTTTCATACGCATACTTGGTTCAGTTATTTATTGCTGTGTAACAAACTACTCCAGATACTTAGTGGATTAAAAAATAATCCTTTTATTGCCTCTCAGAATTAAGTGTTTTGACTGGGGCTAAGCTGGATGGCTCATCTGCTGATCACTGTTCAGTCTCTTGGGGCTGGTGATTGGGCCTGGCACATCCAAGGTTTTATACTCAAATTTCTGGCTCCTTGGTAGGAATATCTGCAAGGCTGGAACCTCTCTTTCTCCCTCCTTCCCTTCTCTCTACACGTAACTCTCTTAGGCTTCTTTGTAGCATGGTGACTGGCTCTAAGTGCAAAGATCCCGACAGGATAGCCCAACAATGTACAACACTAATCGAGCCTCTTCTTGTATTGTGTTGCTAATATCCTGTTGATCAAAGCAAATCACATGGCTGAGCCCAGTGTCAGTGTGGGAGGGGCCTACATAAGGATGTCTATACCCCCAGGAAAGTCTCTTTTGTTGCGGGGGCCACCAATGTTAGCAGTCTAACAGTAAACCCTGTGAAATTTGAATTAGCAGTATTATTTACTATGATGAAAGATGTTTTTCTGAAACACAAAGTATGTTGAATGCAACATGATGACACTCCCGTGTGCTCTTGTGGTATCTCAAGTTTCCCATCATTTTCTAGTATTGAACAGCAGTAACACTGTCTTCACACCTTTCTGGAGCACATAGCATGAACAGAGTATTTTCCTGTGAAATCCTCTCTCTGCTTTTCTTGCTAACCTGCAAACACGAAGGTCTTACCATTTGGCATTCATTTGATTGTAAACACAATATAACCACTGACAACAATGGAGTGGCAGTGCTCAGTTACGCAGTGATCTGCTCTCTGATCAAGGACATGCTTATTAATTTTTTAATTATATAAATGACACACAGTTATAATAGATACTGTGATAACCCCTGACAGCTTGCTAATGAACCTCAGTTTGAAGCACACTGCGTGGTCATGGTTTGTGGCAGCACGCCTCAAAGTGGGGTCTGCAGACTGCTTGCTACCAGTTTGTGACATGAGAAGTACAGAGCATGGGAGTAATCACTGGGCCGCTTTTATGGCAACTTGACACTGCCACATTCATGTGCGTGGTCAGGGGACCCGGTATAGACTAAGTCATCAGTTAGCTGTAAAGTGGAAGTATATGCAACAGGTACTTTACCACAGGTACTTTGGTAGGCCCTGAATTACAGCACCTTACATAAAAAAACAAACTCCTAATTGAGGAGAAACACACTGTGTGCAGTTCTCCACCCATAGATGAGACCCAGCAGAAGAACACTCAAATCAAGGAGTCAGGAATCTGGGTAAAAAAAAGCCAGGTCCTGTCACTGTGGGAAGGTAGGGACTTTGGTTTAAGATTGGACAGTGGTGAGATCTTCATTGTGCCCTCACCTTACGATTGAGCTGAAGTTAAAACAATATTGTGTTGTTACAGGAGCTTATTAATACTCAAGTCCCCCGAGGTTGACTACAGGGTTAGAACTGACTGGTGGGTGTGTCTGGGTCCGAGTGTGTGCGAGAAGGGCGTCTGTGGCTCATCTGGCCTTTCCCCTACCATGCACTCCTTTAGTGAGGAGAACACCCCCCTGGACTTGGATGACCACGGCGGCAGAACCTTCCTCCGAGTCTTACTGCATTTGACGATGCACGACTACCCGCCCCTGGTGTCGGGGGCCCTGCAGCTCCTCTTCCGGCACTTCAGTCAGAGGCAGGAGGTCCTGCAGGCCTTTAAACAGGTAGCTGAGGTTGCCATTCATGTGCGCACGTGCGTGTGTGCGTGTGTGTGTGTGTGTGTGGTGGTGTTGTCTTTGTCGACTTTCCAAGAGGCTGTTGTGCACCACTGACACATTACATTTGTTCAGGTCCAGCTGCTTGTTACCAGCCAAGATGTCGACAACTACAAACAGATCAAACAAGACTTGGATCAGCTGAGATCCATTGTGGAAAAGTCGGAGCTCTGGGTGTACAAAGGGCAGGGCCCTGACGAGGTCATGGATGGTGCCTCTGGTGAAAATGAACACAAGAAAACAGAGGTGGGTGAGACGCGGGTCATGCCACCAGAGCAGATGGTTGGGCTCCTCAAACAAGGGAATATCCTCCTCTGGTTTTAGGTAAAAGTGCAGATTGTAGGATTGTAGGATGAGCTTTATTCTCCAGAGATCTGCTTGTTAAGTAGCCAAAGTAACAGCTATTCTCCTAGGAAATAAGCTGCAAAATGGAAGTTTAGCTACTTCTTCCGTGTTACCTCGGACCATGGGGAATAGACTTTGTTGTCGAGTGGGTGAGCACCAGATTTCCCTTGCGGACCCACCCAGGAAAGAACCTGTTCTCAGTAGGCTGGACCCCCATCATCTCCCACCTCAGTGAAATCATGTCGATCAGAACGAGTCAGGCTGAAACCCAGCATGACTGTAGGAAAACTGCCAAACTCATGGTTTCCTAAATGCTGATGCCAACCTGAACAAACAGACTGTTGCCCAAAGGCCGAACAAACCACACTTACATTTATTTTTGGTCCCTAGGAGGGGAATAACAAGTCACAAAAGCACGAGAGCACCAGCAGCTACAACTACAGGGTGGTGAAAGAGGTAAGTGGGCTTCCTGCCTTCTCTCCTTCTTCATTAATTCTCCTAGGAGCTATGGTTTGTGATAGTCAAGTTGAAAGTGCAAACACTTCAGCTTTTTTCTTCATGTAAAGTTTCACAGGGAGAAAGAAGCTTGCAGAGGTTACATACTTGGGTTTTACAGTCAGATCTTGGTTCAGAGCATCTTCTGCCACTTTTTTGTGTGTGTCCTCAATTTTCTCACTTTTTATAGGTGCAGTTAGCACCTGTATTTCTGAAGGTTTATAATTGACCAAAGGATTAATTGACATAATTGTCAAGGCTCTATCTCAGTGGCTGGCACATAGTGTCCATCAGTGAGCGCTCTGGATCTTTGGAATTCTTTGCGTAAGGTAGTTCAGAGTTAGGAGGTTGGGAGCTTTGTGTTTTGTTTTGTTTTGTTTTGTTTTAACCCCAGAACAAACTCTTCCCAAGTCCCTGGCAATGATGCTGAGTCTCACCATTTTAGGAGATCTTTCTGAAACTGTCCCACTTTTGGTTGAAGCCATAATCCACTGCGTACGCTGGAAAGACATGTTCTTAGCCACGTGGAGGCTTGACGTTCGGTTTGACGTGATTAACAGGGATACTACATATTAGAGCACCATCTCCCTTGTTCTGGGTGTTTTAATATGCTGTGATCACTTCCGCCTCCCTGCCCACGACCGGCGCCTACGGTTTTTTTTTCTCCGTCGTGCTCCCTAGTTTTCGGAGGTCGATTTCTTTGATTTTTTTTTTTTCAAAGAAATTTTATCTGGCTTTATTGAGGTATAATTGAGCAAAAAAGTGTTGTCATTTCCCTGAAGCGTGACACGCAGTAATTTGATACACATACTCTCTGAGATGATTGCCACAATCAGGTTAACGAACACCTCCATCACCTCGCAGAGCAAGCTCTTTGAGGAGGGTGAGAACACTTAGGATTTACTTTAGCAAATTTCACCTGTATGTACACCTTCATTGACTGTTGTTGCCGTGCAGTACATTGGAGCTTAGAACTGCGAGGTTGGTCAGAGGTGCAACCGTTGGGTGTCTCTCTCGGACAGATTCTGATTCGCCTCAGCAAACTCTGTGTTCAGGAGAGTGCGTCTGTGAGGAAGAGCCGGAAGCAGCAGCAGCGCTTGCTCCGGAACATGGGCGCGCATGCCGTGGTGCTGGAGCTGCTGCAGATCCCCTACGAGAAGGTGAGCGAGTCCCCCTCCCAGCGGGGGGGATCCCCGGGTTTTCCCAAACCCTTCACATTTGGTATCGTTGGCCAAGTGGATGTGATGACCGTGAGTATAAGGCCCTTGTAGTCACTTGTATGAAACAAAGAGCATCATAAAATGGGATCACCCACAATCTGCCTCCAACTTAGGATTCTAAGCAAGAATCCATTGATTGTCGCCTCGCTCCCACGCCATGCTGGATGCGCAGGTTCGATAGACAGAGCTCTGTCTGCATACGGGCTTGTGCTGCACAGCGTCCTTTGCAAGTGCCCTTCAGGCAGTTTAAGCCCTACAAGTTGTTAGGGGCTTGTGGGAACACGGGGCTTGCCCACTTTGGAGGTCCTCAGGAGTGTGCTGACGTCTGGCTGAGTATTTGGATCTAGCATATACTTTGCTCTAAGCCCTCTTTTCTGTCGTTGGAAGCTACGCTCTCTGTCATGTTCTTTCATGCCAGCGTTTGTCATTGACAGTGCTAGGATTTAGGGAAGTAGGGTAATAGTGCTTAGCACTGTGCAGCCTGCCTGACAGGGCATTTGCAAAAGCGTCCGTGTACTTTCAAAATCCAGTGCAGTTGTTGTGGTGTTCCCACTTGACAGATGAGGAGACTGAGGCTTGGGGAAGTTTAGAGTCCCAGGGCACAGATTTCTGCCTCTTGAGTTTACCGGTGACTGCCAGAGAAACTTGCTGGTATAGAGCTACCTAAAGAAGGCTTACTGCTCGTGCTTGCCAGGGGCACTGCACTAGGTCATTTTCATTCATTAGTTCATTTCATTCTTAAGGCAGCACATGAGACAGGTCATGCTTTTAGTAGCCCCACTTTAGGTGAGAAGGCTGTCGCCAACGGTTCAATACCTTGCCTGCACGGCCCAGCAACACATGACAGAGCCAGCTCTGCCCAGTTGTGGAGCCCAGGTCTTGTTTGCTGTACCTGATGCCCTGTGCTCAAGGAAGTTCTTGGCAGAGGCCACCACCACAGTCGTGGGGACTGTGGGATTCAGGCTACTCAAGCCTTTCAGTATCCACAATTAAGCTTAATCCCTCTACTAGGTTAGGAACTTAACTAACTTGAAATTAATATAAGTGTGCATGTCATCCAAACTTGACTGACATTTAGACTAGAACCAGCAAGCTGATTCACCTTGCTATGTGTAAAGAATGTGAGGAGGTAGTTTGCTGGCCTTATCTTTGCCTCATAATATCATCAGTTTCCTTAAAGTTGTGCCTTTGTAGAGTAATGTTAACATACCAAATAGGTAACCTGATGTGGTTGGAGTTGGTGGCAGAACATTGTGTGTGTGTGTGTGTGTGTGTGTGTGTGTGTGTGTGTGTGTGTGTGTGTGTTACTGCATGAGTGCAGGTATCCCAGTGTGGGAGAACAGTGGAGGAATTGCTACAGATACCCTCTTGTTATGTGATGTCTTTAGAGCTTACCTGCCTTGTAAAAATCCATTTCAAATGATGAAGTCTTTAGTTTTGTGAGCCCCAGCAGATTCTCCTTTTAGCTGAAGAAGTGAAAGAGTGCAGAACTGTTTGACATTACTGCTGCCAACCAGCAGTGTCTCTCTCTGTCCCAAGGCCTCTGATTTCTTAGAGCTGGAAGGCGTGCCACTTTTCTCTGTTAATGGGAGACAAATGTAATATCCACTCTGTTGTGTGGGGATTTGCTATTAATGTCCTCTTAAACTCTCCCGTTTTGGATTGTTAAAGCTGGTAGCTCAGACTCCTTCTGTTAGTTGTTCTGACAGATGTGTCCTGTTTTCTCCCAGGATTATTATCTAGACCAGGGTGAGCAAACTGCAGACATGAACCAAATCCAGCCTACCACCTATTTTTATACAGCATATTAGCTAAGAATGATTGTTCCATTTTTAAATAGTTACATTCTTAGTGGTATGTGCATGATGTCCTCTCTTTTGCTTTTTGACCCACAAAGCCTAAAGTTCTGTCTGACCCTTGGTCTAGACCAGGACCAGTAGCTAACTTTGATTGTGTGATAACCATCTAAGCACTTGACATGGATTTTGTCACTTAATCTTCATGACAACCATATGAAGTGTGCATTTTTATTACCTCCATTTTGCAGAAGAGGAGACGGAGGCCCTGAACAGTTAAGTAACTTGCCCGACGTCACACAGCCAGTGAGTGGTAGATCTGGCCTAAGAACTAAGCAGTCAGGTTTCAGGGCCTGCCTTCCTAACTGCTAGGCTCTCCAGCCTCTGAAAAGAGGTGAGAAGACTTAGGGAGGCTCCTGTGGGCTAAACGAATAGGAGGGATGACTCCATTTCATTCTCCTTTCATCTTTGCTACATTAAAGGTTTGTTTGTTTAGAATTGGGCAGAATGGCAGTAGGGTTTATTAATCAGTTGTCTTATCATGGAGCATCTAATGCTTTACAAACACTGAGTATATGTTTTTACTGTAGGAAATGAGAATCACATAACCAGCTGTTTGAAATGCCTGGGGCAGGTATTATCCCCATTTTGCAGATGGGAAAACTACCTCTTGGGTTAAATGCTGACGCTGAGGTGACAAGGAAAGGATTACGGCAAGCATAGTTGCCCAAATCGATAATCTAACGCGATTTCTACTCTGACATGTTATCTCCTGCCAAAAGCTCTAATGCATATATGCGTTAGGCAGATTAAGAAGGGTGAGCCCGAGAGCTGGGGCGATGTGGGCTCTCCACCAGTGAGGCACTCAGCTGTTGCTCTGCTCTCTCTCTGTTCTCAGAAACGGGGGGTTCAGAGATTTGGGGACATTGCTAGAAATGGGATCCAGAGGCTTCCTCTCAGCTTCCACTCTGTATTGCATCTTTCCTGCATAAATTCTTTTTGTATCTGCCCATGGCTAGCAGAAGAGGATATAGGACAATTGAACAGGTCACTGGCTTCTTTGAAGTGTCAACAGCACAGCACCCGCATATTTTCACACAACAGGCCCTCAGCAAGCATCTGCAGCACCCCACTCGGCAGGTGATGGGTGTGTCGCAGAACTGGGTCTCCTGGCCTGGAGATAGGTGCTGCCGCCTGCTGACCTTCTCTTGTCCACAGCATAGCCCTGTTTTCAACCTATTTTTCATCTCTCTCCTTCCATACAGGCTGAAGATACCAAGATGCAGGAGATAATGAGGTTGGCACATGAATTCCTACAGAATTTCTGTGCAGGCAACCAGCAGAATCAAGCCTTGCTACACAAACACATAAACCTGTTTCTCAACCCAGGGGTAAGACTCCAGCCCTGTCTGGAAATCTATGAGGGCAGGAGGGCAGGAAGCAGTAAGAGGAACAGCTTGTTCTTTTGCTGTTGTGACCATGGGGACTTGTTATAATGCAACATTCATTCCAAGGGGAACATTTGGACCAACTCTTAGGACATAAATACTCCCCATCTTTTTAGGGGAGAAGGCGGGGGAAGGGAGGAGGAGGTAGTAGGGCAAGGTAAGATCTATTTATATTTTTTCTTAACATTCTTTATTACATCAAATTTTAGCCCTAGAGAGTTGCTGATTCTCATTCTCCAGCCACATCCTTCTGAGGTCATGCATAAAGTTTTCGATGTACATAATATAATACATACTACATTAGATACATACAAATACATAATATATTCATTTAAAACATAACTGTTATACTTTAGTTTGTCAGATATGTTTTGAAATTATGTATTTTGCATTTTTTTAAAGAAAAATGTTGAAGTACTCTACACTTTATTTTGCATTTTGCTTTTTTCACTTAATACATTACAGCTGTCTTTGCAAGTCATAGATATATAAATTTTTTGCATTTTTGATGAGAAGTTGTGATGGCTACATGGAGTTCCCTAGTATGGCTGTAACTTTAAAAATCATTCTCATATTAGTAGACATTTAGGCAATGTTTAATTTTTTGACTTTGTAAATAATTCTACAAAGGACATCCATGTAAATACACACACGCTCACACACTCATTTTTTAGTACCACTAGGGCTTTGGAGGAGAAGGGCTGACAGGCTGAGGGGTAATACTCCCTCTTTGTTATGTACAGGGAAAGAAAAGACTAAAGATAAAAAGTTTAAAGCCCCCTACCTCATACCAAACATATAACTTAGTCACTCAATAACTCTGGGTAAAAAATAGAAAATAAATCTTCTAGAAGATAACATGAAAATATCTTGATGACCTGGTGGAAACTGAAATCTTTTTACACAGTATACAAACAGCAGGAAAATATCAATAAACCAGGCTTCTTTAAAAACTTTTGTTCACCAAATGACGTCATTAAGATCCTCCAGAGGCAAACCAGAGAGTGGGAGAAGACATTTGCATTGCATGTGTCCAATAAAGAACTCCTATCCAGAATATATAACCGACTCAAAAAAGTCAATAAGGGAAAGGACAAACCACTTTTAAAAGGGGTTTTTAAAAATGGGTAAAAAAAAAACTTTAAAATGAAACCATCCATAGAAGAAAGCCAGACAGCCAGTAAATGGGACAAAGTGATCATCAGAGAAGTGTAAATTAAGATTTGCACAACAAAGTATGACTAAAACCAAAGAGACCAACAACACTGTAAATCAGCTAGGGTATAGAAAAGCTCTAGTGTAGAGTGGAAATTGTTAACATCTTTTGAAAGCTGTTGGCAAGTACTTTCTCAAGCCAAATGTTTATACTTTGCAACCCAGCAATTCCACTCTTGCGGGTAAACCCAACAGAAATGCACGTATATTAAAGTTTAGCAGAAGACACGTTGAAGAATGCTCAGAGCAGCCCTATTTGTGCTAAGTGTAGTGTTACTATTTGCCATTAAAACCGGATACGCGCCCAAATGCCCATCAGCAATAGAATAGATAAGCAGATTGTGGTTTATCTGTGCCATGGAATATACATAGCGGTGACCGCAAACAAACTACTGATACGTGCAACAACATGTTGAGAGCATTGCAAACATGCTATTGAGCAAAAGAAACCAGACGGGAGAGACTACATGAGGCTCAACAACGGGCAAAACTAATCTGTGGTTGCAGAAATCAAAACGAGTTAAATTGGGTGGCGAGGCGTTTTGTTTCTTGATCTGGGTGCTGGGGTTTCCTGTGTAGTTCATTGAGCTAAGACTAGTGATTTGTTTCCCTTTCTGTGTGTTTATTATGATTAAAAAAGAAGGCAGGGGTTGCCTGGGCGGCTCAGTCCCTAAGTGTCTGCCTTCAGCTCAGGTCACGATCCCAGGGTCCCAGGATCAAGCCCCACATCGGGCTCTCTGCTCGGCGGGAAGCCTGCATCTCCCTCCCCCACTCCCATGCTTGTGCTCCTGCTCTTACTATTTCTCTTTCTGTCAAATAAATAAATAAAATCTTTAAAAAAAAAAAAAAAGGCAGCACAGAAGTGAGAAAGGAGAAAGGTCTCTTCATGGGTTTAAATGCTTCTCTCTGTGTGCTTTGGTAGACTTTTTCGCACGTTGTACTCTGCTCTAGCCGCCTTTTGACCATTTCCCTGTGTTTCTGCCCTTACTCTTGTGCCAGATCCTGGAGGCAGTCACCATGCAGCACATCTTCATGAACAATTTCCAGCTCTGCAGTGAGATCAATGAGCGGGTTGTCCAGCACTTTGTTCACTGCATTGAGACTCACGGTCGAAACGTCCAGTACATAAAGTTCCTGCAGACAATCGTCAAGGCAGAAGGGAAATTCATCAAAAAATGCCAAGACATGGTCATGGCTGAGGTGACAACTATTTATTTCTATATACCTTCATCTTGTGTTTTTTTTTAAATTATTGCTATCTATATGAACACCCTCTCCTGGAGCCACATAAACGGACAAAACGTAATTGTGGTTTGTGTGTGTAAGAGAGAGTGTGTGTTTGTGAGCTTAAATTGTGTATATAGGTGAGAGTCTGATCACATTTTTCATAGCAGTGAACCTATTTTTTTTTTTTATTTTTTTTTTAATTTTTTTATTGTTATGTTGAACCTATTTATTTTAAGGCATTTTGGCTCAGATTCTTCTGAGAGGGGAAAAAATAGGAATATTGAACCCAAATTACAATGAGTAGAGATTAAATGTAGATAGAAACCAGTGAGCCAGAACAGCCTACATTCCTGTGGATTATAGGACTTTTTCCTTAATTGTTCACTTTACTAGCTAGAAAAATTATTGCTTGCTTGATTCATGGGAAGAAGCTGGTCAGTGGAATTGGGACAAAGTCCCGCTGGGTTGCCTGTGGGGAAGTCGGTGCCCCATGGGACGCTGTCTGACCAGGAAAGCCCTCTGCCATACCTGTGGTTTTGGTGTTCAAATATACTTAAGTCTTTCCACCTGTTTAAAAAATGAAACCTCAGATGAATCCACCTAACACTTGGATTTATAATCCTGTCTAATAAAAAAAATCACAGGATTCCTGTGGAAGGTAGTGTAGTGTAATTAAAAGAATTGACTTGACCTGGGATGTGAATGTAGGCTAGGCTACTTTACTGGCACTGTGAGCTGATGACTTCCCCAACCCTCAGCATGCCTTCCTACAAAATGAAGGCGCAGTGGTATTCAGCTGAGAAGCTGATAATGCCGACTCAGTGAAATAATGGTGACAATAATAGCTAACATTTATTGGAAGCCTGCCATACCCTAGTCATGGTTCTAAGCAATTTACATATAATCAGTTAATCTACCTGACGCAGCACCATGAGTTAGGTATCATCTTTGTCCTCAGTTTTACAGACAAAACTGAGGCACAGGGAGGTTAGATAATGCACTTAGGGTGTTTATCATGGTATCTGGCACTTAATTAGGGCTTATAGAGGTGAGTTGTTGTTATGCAAATTACTATTGACTATATTTATTTTGACTTCTGTGCCAGCTCGTTTTTGGATCTTCTGTATTTCCCACAGTGCTGAAATTGACTAACTCTTCAGTAGATTTATGAGAAGCCACACACAGTCCTGGGGACAAGTTATAAGTAGGAATGCCTTGATTTTTTTTGACAAGTATTGAAAGGAAGGCATATCTTAGTAAGAAGTGGATAATTGGTAATTGTGAAGACAGAAGGCAGTATGTGAAAGAGTTGTAAGAGGGATACTACTTTTCAAGCATAAAAAAGATGGAAACATTTTTAAAAAGAAAAATCATAGCCTAAATATTAGGTTTGGAAATCCAAGTGCAAGCTTGCCATCTACATTTCCACTTGATACATGAATGTTGGGTCTGTAGACTTTCTCTTCCCCTGAGAGTTTGTTAAGGCGACTGTCAAATACCTGTATCCGTCGATTAAAATGCAGCTGCTAGAGATTTTTAGTTATTGATTCAGAGAAATGACTGAAATTTCGGTGAGTTTAGTAATATGGTTGAGACTGGCTTTGGAAAGCAAATGCTGACAGAACATCTCTTTCTCTGCACGTAGATATTTTTTAAACGGTGTCCCCACCTCCGCAAGCGTGTGATATAAACAAGCCCTGTTCTTTTTATAGCTGGTTAATTCGGGAGAGGACGTCCTCGTGTTCTACAATGACAGAGCCTCTTTCCAGACCCTGATCCAGATGATGAGGTCAGAGCGGGACCGGATGGACGAGAACAGCCCTCTCATGTACCACATCCACCTGGTAGAGCTCTTGGCCGTGTGCACCGAGGGCAAGAACGTCTACACGGAGATAAAGTGCAACTCTTTGCTCCCGCTGGATGACATCGTCCGCGTCGTGACCCACGAGGACTGCATCCCCGAGGTGAGCGAGCCTTTCTCATGCCTCTGCACATGGCCGGCCCACACGAGACCTCACAGTGCTGAGACCTGCCGCTCATTTCATAGTAACATCTCAGTTGGTGGGAGCAACATTTTCTCGAATGCCAATTTTGTGCATGAAGATTGTCGGCAGTGGGGGGATGTTAGTCTTTCCTACTGTCCTCTTGAGAACCTTGGGAATCTGCTGCTGCACTTCTGTTCTTGGAAACTAATAATTCAGCCTGTGGAGCAAAGAGGATTTTTGAATCCCCTTTGAATGAATGTCTGAGAAACAAGATTGAATGGGTTGAGATATGGTTCAAGTGAGTAAGACCTATTCTGCAAGTTTATTCTTTAAAATGAAAATTTGTATTGTAGAAATGATGAATGACAATTATAAAATACTGAGGAACTACAGGAAAGCAATAGGAAAATCAAAATTATAATTCCATCACCCATAATAAATACCTGTTAGATTTTGGAAATGATTCCTTCTAAGCTGTCCATTTTCTTGTTCATATATTTTGGCTGGTAACAAAAACGCCAACAAAAACTGTGGATCATTCGGAATTTAGTTTGCCTTTGTATATTTAAAATACATACTATTAATTTATATCTTCAATTAAATATACATATATTTATATATAGCATATGTATATACACTTATGTTTTTAGGTGATTTTTTTTTAAAGTTAATACATTTTGAAAAGTTCAAATAGCAGAAACTATAAAGGAGTAAACTAGGCAAAATCTCCTAATCTGTCCCCTCCCACCCCACAGAAAATCATTTATTATGTTCTTGTACATTGTCTAGAATTCTGCATATAAACAAATTATATATTCTCCATTCCCCTGCTCCCTCTTTTTTTTTTTTTTTTTAAACACAAGAGGTGACATTATGGGTACACTGTTCTTCTCTTCATTATCAGTCTGTAAAGAGAGTTCACATTCCTTTTTTATAGTTACCTAAAAATTTTATCGTATGGATGTGCTATAATTGCCCTGCATGGCTGTTCAACTGGCTTATGTGAATATAATGAGATGATAATAACTGGTGATTCTAATGAAGGAGGAAATGACAAGATGGCATTTTTCTCAGCCTTGTCCACACAGTATTTTCTCAGACTTTTTGATTCTTATTTATCTGATAGGTGAAAATAGTGTTCTAACATAGTTTTGATTTGCATTTGTCTTATTCCACATATACCAAATCGATTTTTCAAAGAAGTCTGTTTCTGTCTTCAGGTTAAAATTGCATACATTAACTTCCTTAATCACTGCTATGTGGATACTGAGGTGGAAATGAAGGAGATTTACACCAGCAATCACATGTGGAAATTGTTTGAGAATTTCCTTGTGGACATCTGCAGGGTAAGTCTCTCTGGAACTGAGTGGCAGAGCAGAAGTGTGTGTACGCGCGTGTCTGGACATCCTTATGCAGGCATAAGGGAAATATCTGCATAATTTCAACTTTGTTAATGTGTGGTACAGGGAGGCAGATGTGACTCTTATCATTGCACATGTCTCATTTCTTCTACCTTTTACTCCTAGTAAAAGAAACTCCTAGGGAAGATGGATTATTTCTGCTTTTCATTTCATCCTTTATGGATTGATCTAATAATCTGAAACATATTAAAATCACATTTAAAAGTTTTCTTCTCCTTGACAGTATTTCTTCCCGAGCTTGAGCATTTCTCTCCTTCAGTCTGGTGTCGAGGACTCTGCAAAGCACTTTCGTTTGCATCTGCTTTGCTGACCTAGCCGTTGTGCTGGGCTTCATACTCTTGATTTGGTTTTGCTCCAAGCTTAACATTGATCCTAAGGCTGCAAGACTTAGCACCTAACAAGGCACACCATAGATTCACTAGGAGTTTTGTGGTGGTAGATTTGGGGGAGGGGTGCCAGTAACCAAGAGAGAATAATTGTAAAGTGAATCTTAATTTTGGAAACGTTGTGTTAAAAAGAAAGTTGCATTGTAGAGTCCTAGACTGTGATAATTTCTGCTTGATGGTACAGTCACCAGTGCAAAACAAGGAACCTACAAGAACTTGTTTTCTTCGTAATCTAGAACTTTATTTAATAATACCTAGGTATTGGTATCACAGACATATGTATATTTTTTAAATCTCAAGTTCCTCCTAGTCTTTTAATTGCATAAATCTAGGTTTTTTTGGAGACTGGGATGGAAGGCCTGTTTTGCTTTATTTTTATTTTATGTTGTCTTATTTTTTTTTAAAGTAGGCTGTACACCCAGTGTGGGGCTTGAACTCATGACCCTGAGATCAAGACCTGAGCTGAGATCAAGAGTCAGAGGCTTAACTGACTGAGCCACCCAGGCACCCCTGCTTTGTTTTTTGTTTGTTTGTTTGTTTTTTTAATCAAGGCTGAGCAAAGTTTTCTGTAAAGGACCAGATATTAAATATGTTCAGCTTTGTGGGCCATCTGGTCTCTGTCACAGCTGTTCAACTCTGCCCTGGTAGTTTGAAAGCAACCAAGACAATATGTAATCATGTGGGCATGGCTGTGTTCCAATAAAACTTTATTTATAAAAGCAGCCACTAGGGGTGCCTGGGTGGCTCAGTCGTTAATCGGCTGCCTTTGGCTCAGGTGATGATCCCGAGGTCCTGAGATCGAGCCCCACGTCGGGCTCCCTGCTCCGAAGGAAGCCTTCTTCTCCCTCTCCCACTTCCCCTGCTTGTGTTCCCTCTCTCGCTATGTCTCTCTCTGTCAAATAAATAAATAAAATCTTTAAAAAAAAAAAAAAAGTCACCACCAGCCCTTAACTTTGCTGACCTCTACATTACATTATTCAGAAATGTAAAAATCAGCTGCTAATTTCATTCTCTGAATTTGTCTACAAGCTGTTCAGCATTAAGCTTAGAACATGGTAGTTAGTTAATAAAACTTGATTCTTTTTTGCCCTTCGTGTATTTTTATGAATATATTTTATATTATGTTAATGTCTCAAACTGTAGGACTAATGAATTTGGTAATAAAACTTGACTTTTTAAAAATGTATTTTCTAAACCTTTCCCTCTAAATGTCTCATCTTGTTTTAAGCAGCAAAATTAAGTAGAATGCAAGTAAAATCTGAAGTCTCTTCTCACCCCAAAACTTAGAGTCCATAACTCTGACTCACAGCCCACTACTTTCAACAGCATCACATATCAGTAACTTTTTAAAAATTGAAGTGTAGTTGACACACAATGTTACATTAGTTCCACTGTACAACATAGTGATTTGACAACTCTATAGTAACATGTTTATCGAATGAAAGAGTGTTGTGCATTTGGAGAATATCACATGGACCTCACTGGTGTATTTGATTCTCTTGATTATATGGATTAGGAAACCATGGTCTACAACAGATGAATGGCTTAACCAGGAGGACAGTTTACTTTTAGGGAAAAGTATAGACAACTATAGTTACTATGCCTTTTGCTGCCTCTTTAAGGTTTAGATTTGCCACACGTGGCTAGGAATTTGGAAGCAATGGCCCTGTAGGTCCCATCCCAATTTTAAATGTTTTGTGCGTCTACATGTGATATCCGAGTTGATCAGTTTCTCTTTCTGCATGATTTATTCTTGTTATTTTTATTATTATTACTGTCATTCCTGAGAGGGAGACATATTGACCTGCAAGCCTTTACCTTTCATTTGTTAAGGGTAATCAGCAGGAGTGGTCACAGATTTCTTAATCCTACAACTGACCTGCAGGTTCTGGTGTCATGTCTGAAACATCCAATTGCCTTGCAGGCCTGTAACAACACCAGTGACCGGAAACACGCAGACTCAATTTTGGAGAAGTACGTTACTGAAATTGTCATGAGTATCGTTACCACCTTCTTCAGTTCTCCCTTCTCAGACCAGAGCACAACGCTGCAGGTAAGAAAGGCAAATGCAGGTGCAGGGCGTTCACGGCTGAGCTTCAGCAGGGGCCGTTGGCATTGATTTGGCAGTGAGCAGCTATACATGGGCCATTTTGCAAGGCATTCAGACAAGATGCTTTTCTTGCTGTGGTGGGTCCCTTGGCTACAGAAGCACCTGAGAATGTTTTTCTGTACCAGATGAATCTACTGGTTGTTGATTTTTTTCCCCCTTAAGATGCCTTTTCTTCCCCCTTTAATCTTGTTATTCCCCCCGCTTCAGTCTTGGAAGAAGGAGAAGCAGCTTTCAGATAGGTGCTAGCATGTTATTCACACTTTTTAAAAATGCATTTGGAGATCCCGATTCTAACTCCCAGGCGTGTACCCAGAGTTCACCCAAAGTGGTACGGGGCTAGCATGAGAAGGTGTTCAGCCCGGCTGGCGGGGCTGCTGTGCGGCCTGACCCTGCGGGCGTGTGCACGCCTTCCTGCGCAGTGCTCCTGGGCCTGTGCACTGCAGCAGCTCTGCATCAGGATTCCCACAGTATTTCCAGGTTCAAAGGTAGGAATCCATGGATCCGGGAGATGGTGTCATTCTTTGACTTGGAAAAAAATCATTCTCCTTTATATAACTTATGTCTGGGTCAACTGCTGTGCAAGTCTTACTGCAGGTGCGTTCGTACTGCCTGCAGGATGAAAGCTGGTCTTGGTCTCCAGTGGTCAGAAGAGAAATATTAACCCTCCTTGTCGTGGAAAGAGGTAGAGGCTGTCCTGGGGTTGATGGGTGGCCTAGGGTTGTTGGACTACAGACAGATAATCCTAATGAAGGTAAATTCTCCAAGGGAAGGGTGATTCATACTCCCTGGTGTGTTAATTAGATACTGCTATATTTCATTAATATGCAAAGAGTTCATATAAGCCTAATACAGCCTATGAGGTAGATGATACTGTTCCCATTTTGCAGCTGAGTAAACTGAGGCTCAGAAAGTTTAATTACCATGCTCAGTTAGGGTCACAACCATTAGGTGGCATAACCATGATTTCAGCCTACTTCTCTCTGATGCAAAAACTTGAATTATGGAATTTTTCATGAGATACCTTTCCTTGGGACTGTTGGTAGCCTTATGCTTAGTTAGAAATAACTGTACAAGCTAGTGGTTAAGCTAAAGTATCACGAAGTTAGAAGGCAGCCTTTCAAATATCAGTACATATTCTTGAGTAATTGGGGAGCAGAAACCGGTTAGATCCCAAGCACATGAATTCCTAGAGACCAGAACATGCTCCTCACCAACTACTATTACACGGAGAGCCAGCTAGGAAAGCTGCTTTGGTTACTAAGATCGGACTTGCTTCTTTTGTAATTTAAAGTGACAATCGCCACAGCAATGCCCATTCTCCTATAGATTGTGAAACAGTATTGCAAAACCAGAATGTCAAAGTAAATCAGTCAAATTAATTGGAAAACCATTAAACAGAAACTTGTGTCTTGGATTTCCATCTTGGTCACTCCTGTCTCCTCATATTGCCTTACTTTGAAACCAATTTTTGGACCACCTAATAAGCCAGAATCGTCAGAGAGATGAATCTTCAATATAAATGCTCAAAGTTCCTGGTGAGATCCCAGGTTGTCTATCTATACTTAGAATACAAAGTCCAAAGTGGTTTTAGCTTTGTTTTTTAAGGGGTAGCTTATGGATTCTAGAGCCTTCATTTTCAAGGAATACTATTTTTGGAGCTCTCATAGCCTGTTTTGTTTTGTTTATATGCTGAAAAGCATATGCCTCATTTCCCCAGCTAGATTTTTACCTCCTTCCTGGCTTCCTTGTTTGTTTGGGGGTTTTTTTGTTTGCTTCCTTCTTTTTATTCAATCCAAACATATGAGGAAGGAAAATGATGAACTTGGGTTTGGCTGTGTTGCATTTATGTTGCCAGTGGAATGTCCAGGAAGCAACTGGAACTGTGGGATCCAGGGAAGAAGAACAGAATTTTGGAGGCTTTAGAGCTGGTTTCAAATCCTCACTCTGCCCCTTATCAGCTCTGTGGACTGGCCTTGGTCACTGAACTTCAGAACCTCTTTGCTTACATTTGAAACAGGGATGGAATATCAACCTTGCAGGTTATTGTGAGCACTAGAGATAATGTTTATGAACCATCTAGTATAGTGCCTGGTACATAGGAGGTGCTTAATAAATAGGAGCTTGTGCTTTTCCCCGCTAGACTGTCAGCTTTGGTAAGAAGGGCGTGGTTATGTCTTAGGTCACAGTTGTCTGCAATACTGCTTGGTCCCTGTGTCTTGCTTTGTGCCTGGAACCTAGGAGATGCTAACTCATTGAATAAGTAAACGAATCTGTGAGACTCAGAAGAGTGGAGGGGTAGAATCCAAGTATAAACATTTGCTCATTGAAGTTGTGGCCCGGAAAATGAAGTGGTTTACTTAGAGGGGACTGGGCAGAGCACAGATAATTAAAGGCAAGATACAGAAGAGGCCAGGGGAAGGTCTTCACTTTATCCCGCATGCAGGATGGGATTCAGGAACAAGCAGGGCTTCAGGATCTAAGAAAAGGGAGCATTTTATGAAGAAGGTGTTGAGCGGCCCTGTTCTTTAGTCCAAGAGGTCAAGTGAGCTGATGTTCCCAGATTGCCCATTGGAATGGGTAATTAGGAGGCAGCTACTCTGGCCAATTTCTTCATCTTTTGTTTATCCAGGGGTCAGATGGAACAGAGCAGAGGCCTAATAAATATTGGTTCAGTTGAATTAATTTAGTCAAAGGATACTTCTTTCTTTGAGTTTGGGTGTTGGGTTCTCATCCCAACTCTAACACCTACGAGCCAGTCGGGGGGAGGATAATACCACTATTTACTTCCTTGGGTCATGGTGAGGGCTCAGTGGGATAGGCAAAAAAGCACTTAGCCCTTGGCATGTGGGACGTGATCTCCATAAATGGCTTCTCTCATTGGAACCCTTGTGCTCAGGAGCTTAATATCAGGGTTTTTCAGCCAATTTCTCAGGCTCTCTATGATCCTGTCCTCTATTAGCAATGCAGTTTGCTTTCTCAGGTGGCTGTGAGCTGTAGAACAGAAAATACTTCCTGAAGGAAGCAGAGATCCTGGTTTTCGGGTGAACTTGGTGGAAGGAACACAAGTTGTTGGCGTCAGAGAGCCCTGAGGTCGACTCACTGCTCTGCCACCATTTGTTGGTTCTTCTGTGTACTTTCTTTTAACCTGTCTGGGCCTCCGTTTTGTATTTATAGCATTAAGGCTATAAATGTTTGCCACAGGATTGTTCGTTGAGGCCCCAAATGAGCTTTCATTTGAAGTATGTAGCACTTAGTAAGTGTAATTTTCTGAACATTGTTCATAGAAGAAGTTTTGAATTTTTATTAACCTGTTGAATTTTCTTCTAATAGAGTTCTTTCTCCCCCACCACAGCACTTTCTCTTGTTTTTCTTCCATCTCAGAAACCTCTCTAGAGCTTTTTAATACTTTTTTTTCTTTGCTATATTAATTCCCACTGTGTTTTGGAGGGACTATGCAAGTCCTCTTTCCCCAAACTAAAAACAGTGGAGAAGCTCACTGTATACAGTAATGTTTGCCTTGCAGGTCAAAGCTACTCTGACCCAGGTAGCTTTGGATGGAGACTGAAACGCATTTGGAAATTCGGAGGAAGTAAATGTTGGAGTTTTCTTATTTTAAAAAAGAGTACAAATTTATACTGTCATAGGAATAGATCCTACCATGTAGTTAACTCATCTGTAGTAAATGAATACTTGGAACGGGTAACCATCAGAACTATCTTCTGTTTATATCATTGAAGACACTGCTAGAAATAAGCATTCTTGGTGAGATCCACTCATCAGTTTGTTTTTGCTGATTAAAAATAGAGGTTCTGCTTATAGGAAATAATGTCTGGAAAGAACTTCGGGTTAATTTGCCTCAGTCCACTTATTTTATATACTGGATGAAGTTAAAGCTCAGAGACATGAAGCAATTTGCCTGAAGTCATATAGCCAGTTGGTAACTGGACAAGAATACCAGATTTCAGACACTGATTCCACTCTTTGTTCTTCTGGTGAGACTTAGATGGCATCAGGTTTGTAGATGCCCTTAAAATGCTTCTGATTTTTTCCTCCTTGGGATAGGCAACTTCTAGAATCCTGCTCATAACCGGTCACCCCTTCTCACTCTTACAAAGGGTCCATTACCATTAACCCACAGTTCAATGCAATGTCTGTTTCTGATCAGCATATCAGTGATCTACAGAAAAGTCATACCACCCGTCTCTTGGCTTCTCTTCCTTGCAGACTCGCCAGCCTGTCTTTGTGCAACTGCTGCAAGGTGTGTTCAGGGTTTACCACTGCAACTGGTTAATGCCGAGCCAAAAAGCCTCTGTGGAGAGCTGTATTCGGGTGCTCTCTGATGTAGGTAAGATATCAGTGCAGGTGGGATTGACTGTGATGAAAATGAATTGCCTGACAGTAATAAAGACTGCCATTTCTTGAGCACTTGTTCTACCTCTTCTGAAGTTCTGCACACAAGAAGTTGCAGAGGCAGAACTGGAGTGGAGGTCTTCTTGATTGCTAACCCTTGCTTTCATCTACCAAGCCAGCATCTCCCAAAGTTAAGAGCCAGTAAGTCCCAAAGAAAGCTAGGCTTTGAAAAAATAAGAGTCCACCGTTCAATGTAGGCAACTCTTGGCAAGTCACAGTGCACACAAGCTGGTTCAAGGCTCTGGGAAGTCTTTCATTCAGGAAACGAATTTGTTTACTCCAGTAAGTGTATTTGACCGTATGGAAACTTTCTTCCTACGAAGTACACGTCCAACCCCAAGGAACATCCTTTCTCAGAAATGCTACACTGATCCCTTTTGCCTCTCGATGATAAATGGTGTTCTGTTCCCTCCTCCCCGCCCCTCACTTGTCACTTCTCTGGCAGCTTTGAAAGGAAGTCATGAAAATTACTGCTCCCTTCACCCTGACTTACTCAGACTCTCTTCCTTGGCCCTGTTCCCCTTTATAAATGTTAAGCAAGGGGTTCATCTTCCTGCCTAAATTGAAGAAGAGTTACCTCCCTGTAGTAGCTATTTAGATCCCCTGAGAGCAGCAGAAGAGGCAGGTGGGGTTCTTAGCACTATTGAGTAGCTGTCCAGCCAATACAGATGGTGTTACTTCCCTGATTTCAGTCCTCCCATCCTGATTTCCTTGACTCTCAAGTGGTAGGTGTTGGTGTCCTTTTATTATTTTCGCAGCACTATTTCACAATAAGAGATGAGGCTTTTGAAAGTGTGTACGTTATAGGTTCATGATGTGATATCTCAGAACCAGGGCTCTGAGACCATATCCCCAAAACTCGCTACTCTGCCCATGTAGGATCATGCATCATGAAGTTGTTGAGTAAAATTTGGGCAGGTTGCCCAGTTGATCAGCCCAACGCTCATTAGGGAGATGAAATGTTTTAATTGGCTTGGCATTGATGAGAAAAGATAGAGGGAGGTGATGTCTATGAAGTGGCAGGCCATGGAAACAGCACAGCACCCCAGGAATTCAGACATGTGCCCCTTGGGGAATACTTCTTCCTGACTAAAATCACACCAAAGTTCACTATTTTCATGGTTTATCTTCAAAAGGGGGTATCCAAGGCACATTGTTTCTAGCCGAGTATATGCTGTACATCCTGCTTTTTATTTTTATATTATTCATATCTTTTTTCCCAAATTTCTCACTTGGTATATTAAACTGTTAGAAATTCGTTGGCTGGCTGATGGTTTTTTGTTTTTCTTGGATTTAAACAATTGCTTCTCAAATTGCTTCTTCCAGGGTGCTGGCATTGTTTTTACAATTAGATACAGGTAATATGGCACCTTCTTTGCTTCTGGTCTTGTGAAGCATTGAAGACAGGAAGTCATTGTCTTGTTTTTTCAGAGGTTGTTGGATTTCCCATATGGGAAAAAAGGATTGTTGGTCTTAGTTATTTTCCTTTATTAATTAAACTTTTTATTTTGGAATAATTTTAGACTTACAGGAAAGTTGCCAGGATATCACACAGAGTTCCCATATGCCCCTCACCCAGTTTTCCCTGCTGTCAACATCTTGCAACACCAGGATATTTTTGTCAAAACTACAAAACCGATATTGGCCCATTGCTATGAATTAAACTCCAGACCTGGCACCACTTTTTCCATCAATGTCCTTTATCTGTTCCAGGATTCAGTCTAGGCTCCCACGTTGCATTTAGTTGTGATGCCTCCCCAGTTCCCTCTGGGCTGCAACAGTGCCTCAGACTTTGCTTGTGTTTTATGACATTAACAATCTTAAAGAGTGCTGGTCAGGTGTCCTGTAGAGAATATGCCCCCCAGCCCCCACCATGGGCTTGATTGTTCCTTTCCTCATGATTAGACTGGAGTTTAAGAGGGGAAGAGAAGAGCCTATATGGAAAGAGTGGCTTATGTTATTGTAAATGTCATCTTTTGTATTATGTTTGGCTTAAATTGGCATTTTGTAGATTGTTCTATAGAATACCACTGAGAGAATTTTTGGAAAAATAGTTTGTTGGCCAAATGAGTTCCCTATCTTAATAATTCTTAAAATATATAAACACACTTTCACTTGCCTAAACTTTGAACTTAGAACATGTTAACGTACTTCAGAGCTACTGTCCCCCAGAATTCACATTGAAAATCGCTGACCTAAGGATGGTAAAGTTCATTTGAGCTCCTCAGCATTCACACTCCGTGCCATCCAAGTGACATACTATGGAAAAAATCTGCCTGAGGGGGTGATGGGGGAGTTAAGTCTGTCTTTGGGGCATCTCCCATGCAAGTTGGAGACTCACGAGTCATCTTTCTTCTGTGTAGCCAAGAGCCGGGCCATCGCTATTCCTGTGGACCTGGACAGCCAAGTCAACAACCTCTTTCTGAAGTCCCACAACATCGTACAGAAAACTGCCATGAACTGGCGTCTGACTGCCCGTAATGCGGCTCGCAGAGACTCTGTTCTGGCAGCTTCTAGAGACTACCGGAATATCATTGAGAGATTGCAGGTAATGCTTGGCCCAGAGAGGAGTGAACCTGAACCTGACCTAAGGTGGTTCCCACACAGCAGTGCTTCCGTGACCCAGAGAAAAACCAAGATTGGCCATAGAGAGATGTCAGTATGTGAATGGATAGTCAAGCACAGTAATATACGAAGAACCAAGAATGCAGAGCTACTTGGGAAGAGAAAAGCTCCTGATGAAGCCATGGTCTTTAAAGGTTATTTGTATATTTACAGATTTCTTCTTGAGAATAGGGACTCTGCTCTTACCAGGAAGGAATATTTAAATATTACAGAAGGATATACCTAGGATGAGGGCATGAGGGCTCCATTTTTTTTTCTCACCCTAGTATATTTAGCCTCTTGATTCAGCAAGTAAACAAGTGTAATAATACCTGAGAAAAGAGTTTTCGATCAGAATGAACCAACTGAAAATAAAAGTATTACTAAGTTCTACCTGGATTATACTTTTTTCTTAGCACCTATGAAGAGATCTGTCCCTTTGTTAAGGGGAGAGTAGTGAGTATTAGGTGTACATGGAACACTTAAACATACATCTGAACATTAACATCTTCCTTTAGCAAGCTCCTCAAGGGATTCTCTTACAGGTAGTGTACATGGGCCATAGTTGGAGATTCTCAGACACTTCAGATGGGCCCGTTGCAGTGCTTAAGGGCATGATCGCAAGCCAATGCCTGGGGTCAAATCCTGACTCCATTGCTTAGAAATGGTGTGTTCTTGGGAAAGTTACTTTATTGTTCTGTGCTTTGGTTTCCTCATTTGTAAGGTAGGATAATAGAAAAGCTACCTGGGTGGGGGTTGATGTGAGGATTACAGGGCTGATAATGTGTTCCCATTATCAGTGCCTGCTTAACAAATCGCAACAGCCATTATTTCCCTCTCTTCCACTGTTCTAGAGGTTGGCTGGGCTCTCTAAGGTATTTCTTGCTCAGGGTCTTGAAAGCAGTTGCAGTGAGATGGCAGCCACAGTTGGACTCATCTTGAAATCTTGCACATGTTTGGCAGTTGATGTTGGGACCCCCAGCTGGAGTTGTCATCTGAAGCATCTACATGTAGTTTCCCCGTATTGTCAGCGCTTGCTTGCAGCATGGTGGCTGGGTCCTGAGATTAGCATCTCAAGAGAGAGACAAGAAGAGCCGCAATGGCTTTATAGCACACATAGCATCACTTTTGTCAAATTCTGTTGGTCAAGGCAGTCACAAGTGTCCACTGAGGTTCAAGGGAAGGGGACATAGACTACCATTTAATGGGAAGAATGTCAGTGACGCAGTGTAAGAAGAACGTGCAAGAGAAGATACATAACAGTGGCCATTTTTGGAAAATACAGTACACGTAAATGGCATAGACTAGAGCCTGGTGTGTAGTGAGCACTTGATCAATGACAGCTGCTATTATGATTATTACTGTTATTGTCATTGCTGTTAGGACTGTAATAATTAGATAAAATAAATGAATCTCTGTGAGGTTATATAACCTGCCTAGAGATGCATGCATCAGCTCCACTCATGCTGGGCACCAGAGATGCAGTGGTGAGCAAAACCACAAATGATCTTTGCCTTCATAGATTCTCAAGTTTTGGAAGGAAGATAGACATTAGTCAGCTAATCACATGGATAAAAGTAAAATGGCAAGAGAGACAATGCTGCAGAGAAGTGAGTAGTGCTATGGAGGGCTGCTGAGGAACCTAATCATGCCCAGAGCTGGGATGATGATCCAAGAAGGCTTTGCTGAGGAATGACGTTTGAACCAAGATCAGAGGAATGTAGGACTTACTTAAAGGAATAGAAGAGAGGGAAATAGCATTTGAAAAGAACATTGTATGGGACAGAATGTGACGCATTCAAAGACCAGAGGAAGGTTGCTGTGGCATGGAGCTGGGGAGGTAGGAAGGAGTTCTTAGGTCAAGGAAAGAATTTCATCCTTACTGTGACACACCCAGTCTTAAACAAAGGTAATTTAGTTCAAATAGAGTGCTTCCTGACTCTATTATATTTTTAAAGGGGAGGGATATTATAGACTCATAACTGTTTGAATGCACAGTATTTTTTACTGTTCAAACGAAATAAATTTTCTGCAGCCAAACACACCAGTTTCTTGTGCTCTTCTTGGATTTATTATGCATATTCTTAGGGAATAAAATAAAATACGTAAGCCTAGCTAATGCTTGTTGTGAAGAGAGTAGTGGCTGAAAGGATCCTCATTATGCAATGATATTATTGTCTGAGTCCCTGTAGTTATGATTGCCTAGGACAGCAGAAGTTACCATAATATGAGAACATTCACTTGCAGACCGACTGCTTATATAATTAATCCCCATTGAAACATCCCCCTCACTTAACACCAGCATCTTTCCCTGCCCATCGCTTCACCATCCTTGTCTGTTGGTCTCTCCTTGATTGCTGAATGTTAAACATTTGACAGTACAATGCAAATCAATGCCAGTGTAAAGTTCAAACCTCGCAAAAGATGCAGGATTTTATGAATATGATGTTGAAGAACTGCTTCAACCCCCTGCAAATGCTATAGACAAAGATTTGCCAGAGTTAGAACCAATAACTACTGAAGAAGAGAATTTGGAGTGCTTTCAAAGAGGAAACAGAGAATTTTGCAAAAATGACCCTGTTTTTGACTATGCTATGAATGTCAGTATGAATTAAGGGGTATTGTAGTGTACTTTTGCTGGGAAAATTGCCCCCCCCAAATAATTTGATTGATTCATGCATTCTTTATGCATCCTAAATATTATTGAGTGATTACAAATTTTGTTAAATATAAAATAAATAATAGTCACATGTTTTAGTTTTAGTTCTGGGGTAACAGATAAATCAATTCTTTATTGCCCATTACCTATGAAATTTGGGTCTACACTTAAGTTGAATGCAATTTAAGTGGCCTTTCCCATGCAAATCTCCTTGGTTAACTAGGACTTCCCATATTATCCACACCATGCTGTGTTCAGCCCCTGTCTTAGCCAGCAAATGCTCCCAGTTAGGTTCCAAGTTACCAAGCCATCCAGCAGACTTTAGCATCTTTTGAAGATAATTTCTCATCTGTTTTCTGTCATTTGCCTTTATATGGTGTTTGTTGTGTTGGTTTTGCTGCTCTTTCAACTTCTCTCTGTTTTCCTCTCCTACAGCTATGTGTTTTGCATTTGAAGACCATCATGCTATCAGGGTACATGTATTTAGCATTTTGATACAGCATGTTCATTCATTTGTGTGCTCATTTTTGTATGACTTTTTATTATATGAATAGTTCATGCTCATTGGAAATAATTTGTACTCACAAGTACCCATTTATGGAAGAAAATTGGAATCACCTGCAATCCCACCACCCAGAGAAAACCAGTAGTGATGTTTTGCTGATATTTGGTATATATCCTTAGGTACTAATGTTGTTTCTAAAAAATTGGATCATATAGTGCCCATGCTATTGTTTAACCATTTTTTTTACACTCATATTGTAGACATTTTTCCATGTTGTCAAATGTACTTTTTGCATCGTATTTCAAAATATGTGGAATGACCCCTTGAGTGACATAAGGATCATCACAGTAGAAGGGCTGGTGGGGCTGTTTTTACCTCGTTGTCTGCATCAGGGGCTATGGCTTCAGATACCCCTGGGGCAGTGTTTAATAATTTGAGATAAATACCAGACAGTACTAACAGTGCTCTAATCTAGCCTAGCTTGTGGTCATTTTTGAGGTCAGAAATGAATGTTCTCACTCTCCTGTAGCCAGCCTCGGCCTGAGCTGCTCACCAAAGCTGTCCTTCCGTTCCAGGACATCGTCTCAGCCCTGGAGGACCGTCTAAGGCCCCTGGTCCAGGCAGAGTTATCTGTGCTCGTGGATGTGCTCCACAGACCTGAGCTGCTTTTCCCAGAGAACACAGATGCCAGAAGAAAGTGTGAAAGTGGTGGCTTCATTTGCAAGTAAGCAGCCTCTCGCTCTGGGGTGGTCAGTTACAGAGCCCTGCTGACCAGACAGAGTGCTTGTTCGTGAAGAAGCAGACGCTGGCCTGGTTTTTGACTTTGATGAGTACGAGGTCATGCGTTAGAGTCCCGTTCTGACCTTGCTAATGTAAGTTTGTGGGTTCGGTTGTACTTAAGTGACACTTGTTTTTGGGTGAGAATTTCTCCTTTTAACTGCATGCCCAGTCATCTTCCATGCCACAAGACTGGCAGGGTACCCACCGTGGGCTGCGATACAGATGTAGAAAAGTCGTGGCCCTTCTGCCCTCCAAAAGTTCAGACCTACCAGGACCCCAGTCTTTTCCTAACACATTTGTAGTTTCTTAGTTTATGCTGTGGGGCATTACCTGAAAGAAACAACCGGTTCCATGACCAGAAATCTCCTTTTGATTTTTATCCTAAGGTGGGTTGATTAACTTGAGCGTGGACTCTGCCTCTGAGCCCCTCAAAGGACCCTGGGTCCCTCAAAGGACAAGGCAATGGGTGAATGAACAGTGTTCACCTTAACCATTATCCCCATGAGGTTTTTTTTTTTTTTTTTTACTGGTGGCATATTTTAGCCATGTTACTGGCACTCCTTAGTGGATAAAAAGCCACACTCTATAAACTAACAGGTGTGAGTGGGCCCCCGGTCCTGTTTCTCCTCCCCCTATCATCTCCTCCTCCTATGTGGTAGACTCCCGCCCAGTGTGCCCGCTCGCTGTTACTGACCAGCGGGTGTCGCTGTTGAGACACTTTTGAAACACTAACTGGCTGTTCAGGCTACAGTGAATGCCCCCAAGCATGTTTAACTTAGGAGTCCTTGATAGATATTTGTTCATTAACTGACTACTTAAAATAAGTTGCTTGTGAAGTGATTGTTTGTTTAATTGAAAGATCATTTCAGGGACCTAATGTATGGTTCCTGGCCCCCCTTTCAGGTTAATAAAGCATACCAAACAGTTGCTAGAGGAGAATGAGGAAAAACTCTGCATTAAGGTCCTACAGACCCTCCGAGAAATGATGACCAAAGACAGAGGCTATGGAGAAAAGGTACTGTGTTTTATTCTCTTGTCAAGACAAGGTCTTGCTATTAAATTGAAGTGGGATGGTGGGTTAGAAGTCCACTGTAGTTTAGGCATATTGACTAAGGGGACTTTTTATTTTTTAAAGCTAATTGTCTGGTCATGAAAGGTAGCTAAATCATATGCCTTCTCTTCTAAAAATCACATATACTTAGTCGTCTTATAGGCTGCTTGCCACGTAATCTAATGTCAGGGAAATAGTAACAAGGTATTTCATCTAAATTCCTGGTGGGAATGCAAATGCCTCTTATGTATCAAGGCATGCATTCCTGAGTTTTGGGTTCCAGCTAGGCATACCTGTGGGTTTACTGCTTCTTTCTGGTGAGATGTTGCACAATCCTTCCAGTGTACTAAGAAACTCCCTCCAGTTCTAACTGGAATTAGGGCAGGCAAACACATTACCCTTTCTAGCTCAGACTGGGAAATGGGCAATCCCTGGGACATGCTACTTCTTGGCATAGGCAGTGAGCAAGGATGTGCAAGAGACCATTCCTCACACTTTCAGTTTTGGTCCAAGTGGGATAAAAACAATCTCATTGCCCCTTCTTTCTGCCCCCCCCACCTTAAAAATTGGGGGGCCTGAATTTAAAATCCCACCAGTTTTCATTTGAAGGTAGTATGTTCACTAATGGTCTCCTAGCCACTTCAGTAGCATTTTCTGAGTAGGTTTATCCCCTGATGTCATTGATTTGTCAAAATACCCAGTAACTCATTGATTCATCTCTGTGAAGAAGCCTTAGTAATTAAATCACAGCCTTCTTTGTCAAAGTGGGTGGTGGCAACCAGGTTATTTCAGGTATAGACGTCTGTAGGGATCTTGATTTCTGACCTAAGCAATATCTTATGCAAATATTAGAACAATTTCACATGTGAAAATCTTTGGATAAGAAAAATAAACCGGCAAAGTACACAAGCCCTTTTGCAGCATACATTCCTTCACTGTCCCCAGATCACACAGCTTTGAAGTGTCACTCTGAATTTTAAAAATACATAAATTAAAAGGTGAATGAATGTGTACTAATTAGGAAATAAGTATCTATAACTCAGTAGGAACTTTGTGGTAGAAACCTGCAAGACAAGAGTTTCTAAATATAAATGATAGAAGTGAAGACCCCTTGTACAAATGAGAAATGATGAGATGTCCTGTTCATACAAGCACCTGTAGAGACACTTATGTAGATCTTGCACTAAAACAAAAAGAAAGAATAGGCAAAAGCTCATAGCAGAGAGTGCCAGACAAACAAGCAGCATTTATTTCACAAGATCTTTCTTTTTCTTAAAGTGAGCTTTAAAAAATGTTTTTAAAATATAATTGTATAACAGAAATTCACTCTTCATAAAAAGATAAAACCCACCAAAAGAGCCATAACCAGCTATGAATATACTTGTAGCTTTGGAGGCATAAAACTTGATTTTAAAAGGTGGAGACCAGTTTTCTCTTCTTTAGAATATCTGTTCATTTCTATGACTTGAGTTTTGTTTTTTTTTTTAAGATCTTATTTATTTGACAGAGATAGACACAATGAGAGAGGGAACACAAGCAGGGGGAGTGGGAGAGGGAGAAGCAGGCTTCCAGCAGAATGGGGGAGCCAAGACCCTGGGATCATGACCTGAGCCGAAGGCAGATGCTTAACGACTGAGCCACCCAGGTGCCCCATGACTGAGATTTTTATAGTAAACTTGGTGTCCCTACTCCCACAAATGTTACAAGTTGTGATTATACTTCAGTTTCTCTCAAGTTTTTTGTTTGTTTGTTTTTGTTTTTAATATCATGGAAAGTAGAAAAGCTAGGATTCGGGTCTGTTGCTTGGCAACTAAGTACATCAGGGTCTTTGGGCCACGTGGAAGGTAAGCTTCCTCACTGGCTTTCCCTGCCTGTTGGTGCTAACTGGGAGAATATCATCACAGACCATGGGAGATGCTGGACCTGAGACGTTGTAAAATTGTCGTTATAAAGCTCATGGAAAACGATGGAGCCTGGGGCTTTAAGAGGGCAGTAGGGTGGGGGTCACTATGAAAGAGTAAATTGTCAGAGTTTAGAAGAGGTTCTTAGGCACTGGCTCCCATTCTTTTTTTTTCAGCTGGTGAAGAAATTAGACACACCCAAGCAGAGAGAGGCTTAAAGGAAAGATGGCATGTCTTTCCAGTCTGGTTGGGGCTGTCATCCCCCTTCACGAAAGTGAAAATACCACAGGCAAATATGGGAAATGCCATTCAACCAAGGAAGACATTCCAGAAACCCATGTTAGTCAACAGCTTCAATACCTATAGCACATACTTAGAATGCTCATGACCCTATGCTTTGTGGGAAAATGCTACTTAACTATTGACATTAATTGAACTTAAAAGAGTTGGGGGCGGGGGGTTGTGCTAAACTATTTCTGTTTCTTCCAATCCAGTAGTGGGTATTAAATTTGTCCTGTTTTATGAAGACTTTTTGAAAATGATTTTGATGCTTTCACGGCTGTCCCTGTTTGACTACAGATGCATGACATATGGGGCAGGCCAGCTCTTTCAAGGGTAGAAGGAACCCAGAGCCAAAGAGCTAACCTTTCTCAGGCAAACCAGTTGGCTTTGGTTGATAAAATAAATGAGGTGTTCTTTGGACTGGAGGCTCAGGGCACAAGGGAAAGTGTGAGGTCATTTCCGTCTTCCTGGCCCAATTTTCCTATTAGTTGTCTCTTAAGTGGAATTTGTCCCATGACTAATGCCCTCCTGGGATGTCCAGAATTGTTCTGCCTCCCTGCCCTGTCCTGAGTCTTCATGGCCATAGTCTGGTCTGGCATCACTTTGTCCTGCCCTCCCTCTGCACACCAGGAGGCCACGGTGGAGAGCTGAAGTGACTTCCCAAGGTCATGTGGCAAGCGTGTGACAGGATCAAGACTGAAAGCCAGGGTCTCGAATCCCAGTGCACTGCCCTTTTCTCCCACCCCTCAGGTAGTGTCCACCCTGTCTGTGGGCCAAGTTTTCTTGTCTCCTAAGCCATAATCCTTAAAGATAAAGAGACATAGATTTCTTTATTCATCTCTGTGTCTTCATTCAATATTTAGGATTGTCAAGGTCACAGATGAAAATGAAAGTTGGGATCATTCTTTATTATCCTGTTAAAAAAATGTTGAAATATTAGTGTGCTTGTATGGATCTACTTGTCTGAAAACAAAGCCACTGGGTACTGCCACCTATATTACCAGATAGACTAAAACATAACAGAATCACTGAACACTGGCTTACATTTTTTAAAGGCCTTATATACCCATTAGTGTCCTAAAGTATGTCTTAAATAACAATTACATTCTTTGACTACTTGTTATGTGCCAGCCGCTGTACTAAACATTATGTCTTACCTTAGGTCAGCCTCAGAGATAGCAGTAGTGTTATTAACTATTTTATACATGGGGGAGAAAACTTAGGCTCAGAGAGGTTCAGAAACTTGCCTAAGGCCACACAGGAATGGGGGAGCCAGGAATTCAAACCAGAACACTCTGACTTCAGGGTCTTCTCTACTGTATCATTGGTGATTGACACCATTTGAATGTTTTGAAGTCCACCCACAAATGTAACATTTAAGTTTCGATTATGTTCCATCATTATGTAAACGACATGGGGCAGTGGCTCTGACGCACAGTAGGTAGCGAAATTTAAACATCTCATCTTCAACTAAGTTGTGATGTCTCACTTAATTGAAAACAGTCTCCACTTGATGCCAACTGGCTTTACAAATTACGATTGTCCCAGGGTCCTCCACAATCTCTGGTTGTTCTAGTCAGGTCCCGAAAGAAAGCGTCAAATCGGTGAGTAACCGGTGGTCAGTCCTCTTGTCTTGGTAAGTTCCCTGGCAGGTACCTGTCTAAGAACTATCACATAGGACACCAAGCTTGGGGCTGCTAGAAGAAGATTATCACAAAAAATTAATTATGCTCCTTTAGGAATAAAAAAATCATCTTTATTATGTCTCTAAAATGCAAAGGAGCAGCAATGAATATTTGTCTCCTAGAGGGGTAAATCTAAATATTAAAAATGATCACCAAAATAATGGTGAAATGTGTTTTTGTATGATGCTTACAGTGTCTTGCTGTCCTAAGACAGCAACCTTAGAATTATAGCAGGACTTTACAACTACTCTTTGTCTGCAATGCCTACTAAACTCTGCCTTTTTTTTTTTAATTTAAATTCAATTAGCCAAGGTATAGTACATCATTAATTTTTGATATAATGTTCAGTGATTTATTAGTTGAATATAACACCCATTCCTCATCATATCACGTGCCTGCTTTTAATGCACAAATTAAACCATGTCTTTATTAAAAAAAAAAACTTCCCATAGCTAAACATCTCTAAAATTTAATCTGAATCTCTCTATAACTCAGAGAACATCTAAATGTCCTTAGACCCAGCTTGAAAAGACAGCATAATTATGTTATATGTTGTATATTGGCCTCTCTGTAGTCTATAGGTTTTTTTATTAGTCAAAGAGCTTTGGAAAGAAATTCAGAAGCCAAGAATTAATATAAAAGGATATCTCAGAATTTATTTAAAATCTATTTTCTGTTCTGAATAGTAGTAGCTGTTTTACCACTAGAGAGTTTTTGACCTCAAGTAACGTCAGGGTTTTCATTTCATACTAATTGACAGTACCTGTTAATTACCAATGCTTCTTTTCTCTAGGTGAATGAAATTTTAGCATTTCCAGCTACCAGGATTTCTAATAAGGAACTTAAATTTGCAAACGTACTATTAACAAAGAATAATAAAAATAACTTGAGGATCATCTCTCCCCTTTTAAATAAGCACACTTGTGATTAATGCTCTAGTTTTTTTTCTTTTTCTTGAACTTGATGCTAATCACTTACTTGTTACTAATATCACTCGAATTGGCTCTAATCATCTTTGGGGGGAAAAGTGTGTTGTTTTTTTTTGTTTTTGTTTTTGTTTTAATCATCAATAGTACCAGGATTTGGAGCTTCTGCT